CTACAAATATCTCCATCTTGTAGCTGATTGGTTATGTCCTGATTTGCTATCAGACATGATAACCATCCCTCCAGTCAATGTAATGTCTTCCTCAAGCGATTTCTTGAGTAGATAACACGTTTTAAAACCACTATACGCAACAGCAAATATAACCATTTGATCATTAACAATTTAATTTCTGCAGCAAGATAAATCCGCTCTCACTATAATTTGCTCACCCAAATCTTGTGAAAGGACCCTTTTATCGATGTATTTTTAGACGTTTATAACTTAGTTATGTCAAAAAACTAATTCGGTCACCTGACAGGCTAATAATACGCAAATTCGGTTGTTTAGGGGTATGCTTAGGCCTACGGTTACCTAGCTTGCTAGTCCATTGCTCTATTTTCTCACGGGTATGCACTGTGTCCGAGCATTTTACCAGATAGATTCACCAGATACCAATAATTAATTAGGGTGCGACTGTGACCTCAAATCTTGATACATCAACCTCGAGGATGTTACTCTCAGTCTCAACAATTCCATAATTGCTGTTGAACGGCACCTCAATTTCAAATTGTCGCGCTTTTGTTATATTTAGCCTTTACAACCATTGGACTTGTTCAATTTGTATTGGAATTAAACATAAGAGTAAGACTTACTAGATTATTACCCACCTCAGATAGAATTATGTTTTATCTAAACTCTCCCCCCGGCCCCGTTGAGAGGAATCAGTCAAAATGAATTTATATTCTATGTTAAATACATTTAAGGGTACTAAGATAAACTGTTTACTGCAGGGATGCACTTTAGTCCCCCTGTGGATGGTACACTACTGTCCGTGCTCTCCTAGCACTATCAGAATGCAGTCTCCTCCATACCAACCCACTACACCTATAAAATATGTGTATAAGACTGCATACGACTATTAGACTGCATATGACTTTAGGACTGAAATTGGTCATAGATCAGACAAGGCTGGTCGGTCGGAGGTCGATCGGAGGTCGGTCAGGCGCCGGTCGGCGGTAGGTGAACGCCGGTCGGAGGTCGGTCGGAGGTTGGTCGGAGGTTGGTCGGAGGTTGGTCGGAGGTCGATCGGGCGCCGGTCGGGCGCCGGTCGAGCGCCGGTCGGAGGTCGGTCGGAGGTCGGTCGGAGGTCGATCGGACCCTGAAATTTGTCTCAACAATAAATACATATTCATGCGGTCGTGATGTGTGTCATGTATATCATTATTTATATTATACCGGTGATGTGAGATTTGGCAAATTATGTCAAGATCACGTAGCTCTGCCTCAATCGTCATAGCCACATGCGAATATTACAATAAAACGTGTAATTATAATCTCATAATCTGTCAGGTTTTTGATTAATTGCTCGATATCTGCTATACAAGTTTGCACTTGCAAGGCCGAGCCAAGACTGTAATGTACTCACTACTTTTACCATTACCGTTTGCTGAGCATGGGATGCACACTCTAGTCTGTTGTCTTGATTGTTGATACCTTTTATGATTTATTGTATTATGTTATATAATTTTAGGCTTCGTGTACGTTAGATTCCGTCGCTTTCAATCGGTGTTACTGGCCATAAAGTCAATTGTACTTAAAAGCGTATCAGGAAGTTATTCAGCATGTTATCGATAGTAGTGGAAATTGGTATATCGACAGTAGTATAATATGACTGATACTTGACCGCGAGAAGAGTACATTTGACCACTTTCAACACGAGTCCATATTACCGATATTATGACCTGTGCAACGTGATAAGGTGATACATATCTAGTCATTTGTTATATCAACACTTTATACCTGCAATTAAGCAATTAGCAGGCAGAAAGGCACGTACAAGTTAAACAATACGGAGCTTACAAATTATTACAATCACTATCAATTATATAGTAAGCGATATGTTCTAAAAATTGTAAAATTCTTGTCACAGCACATACAACTGCATTTTGTGACAGAGTAGAGTGGGGAAATGCAGTGGGGATCATATGGATATAATAGTCTTTTATTTTAATTTCAGTCTCACCCAATATTATAATTATAATTATCAATGCTACTTTAGTGCTTGCTTTCAAAATCAAAGTTCCTTTATTTGAATAAATTTTAGTAGCCCTTAAGGTTTAACTTTAAGCCATGAAGTCCTAGAACTTAAGTGAAACAAACTATCATCTATTAAGCCCGATGCGAATTTAAGAATAATTTACTTGCTAATAATTTGTAAATGCACAAAGTAAAGGTCCCTATGAAAATATTTATGAAGATTCGCAGTTTGTTTTTTTTTCGTTTCACTTATACAAAGTTTCAGATGTGAGCATGAAATCGAGATTTTGAGGTTTGTAACGTTTTATTTGGAATAAGCAGTCAACATGTCTAAAGGAAATTACAAATAAATAATTGAAGATTGATCAATAAAATGGTGCAAACCAAATTTAAAATAAGTTTTTACCCCAAATCATTTTGACATCGCTATAAAACGATTAACGGCATATTAACATTAACAAGGATCGACCGGGACCGCTTTTTTGGCCGGGACCGGGATTAGAAAAAGTGCCGGGACCGGGATTAAGTCGGGACCGGGAATACGACCGGGACCGGGATTAAGCCGGGATGGCGGGATCATAGCTAAGAAAAATTTGACTTTCAATATTCTTTGATCTTATAATGTACAGGGTGGGCCTCAAAAGTCTACCCATCCTTATCTCTTAAAATTGTAACAGCTCGCTGAGATCTCACTAATTATTTTATTTCAGAATGGAAAAGCGCCATAACTTACCACTTACGTTCTGATTAATATTTTTGATTCAAATTTTTAGAGAATGTCAATCATAATTAGACATAACTTCGTGCTAAGTTTTGTGTGAGTCTGAGCTTGTCTGACAAAGTTAGCTCCTGAGTGTGCTAGCTTTAATTTCTCACCAAGAACTGTTTACATTGGTTAATAGAAACCACCAAAAAAAATCCTGGGTAAAAAATTAAAAAACCACCGATTTATTTATGTTTTACTAATTCTATTCACCATGATACATCGCACATTCCATGTAAGAAGAACGATATAAACAAGCAGGAAGGATCATCTGTGATAGTCCTTATCAGTTAAAATATAGAGAGAATGGAATGTGCGATGGATCCATGTGCATAGAATTGGTAAAACGTGAATAAATCGCTGGTTTTTTAATTTTTTTACCCAGGATTTTTTTTGTGGTTTCTATTAACCAATGTTAACAGTTCTGGGTGAGAAATTCAAGCTAGCTCGCTCAGGGGCTAAATTGGTCAAATAAGCTCAGTGAAGCTCGCAATCACACAAAACTTGCCACAAAGGTTTAGCTACTTGTTATTAACATTCTGTGAAATTTAGAAGCACAAATATTTAGCAGAACATAAGTTATGCCACTTTTTGTTTTACAAATAATTAGTGCGATCTCAGCAAGCTGTTACAATTTTAAGAGATAAGGACGGGTAGACTATTGAGGCCCACCCTGTATAATGGCGTTAGGTGCAGTATTTTTACAATAATTTATGTCAGCAAGTTGGTTGAGTTGCTATCCTCTCGTGGGCTATCTTGGCCCAGCCTCTCTAAAAAAATTTTTAAAAGTTGGTTGATCAGTGTATTGGATTTTTAGAATATTCTACATTTGATTTTAGCGTAAAACATACTATACTGGTATTTGGTTATCCGTATATATAATTAGAGTCCGAGTAGCCGTCGCATTGTATGTGGTTTATCAGAGCGACTCTTAACCTACAAGGCAACTGTTTTTACTTGTACAGAGAAATCTCAAGCCGCCAAAGAGTTCCTGATCTCTAAGTCTAAGAGAGAGGTGGGCTTCTGTAAAAGAAAGAGTACAAGAATCAGTGTGCACGGTGATATCGAGAAGGCCAAGGGAAGAATATAAAATACAACTGAAGAGTGACAGTGTTTCAAAAGAATCGTTGATTTATGCAAAAAATGTTCGATAATTTAACAAATTTTTAAAAATCCCGGTTCGGTCCCGGTCAAAATTCGGCATTTTAGCCGGGACCGGGATTAAGCCGGAGTCCCGGTCGAACCTTGGGCATATACTCATATATTCTAATATAGCAGATAGCTTAAAAATATGCTGATTATATTGCGACAACTGATACTGCAAACTACAAATGCGAACACAAAAACCAAAGAGCGATTTGAGTGTGAGTGTACACATTACACAAACATTGTTGCAATAAAGCTCCTCTGTATCACGCGTTACAGTTGCGCCCATCCAGTTTCGATCCACTATCGCCTGACATAGTGCGTCACGTCATGATAGCTGTACCACGTGACCGACAAGGCCATGTATACTGTAACTGTAAGGTTTTAGGTTGATGCGCGCACAGACTCAAGTCTCCACGTGCGCGCATTTTGTACTCGTTCATGGCGTTGCAGCCTTGAATGTTGTAATATTGTCCGCACTCCAATTTGGCCTTTTCGTATACTTTTCAATAGTACGTTGCCTCACGACCTTTTTCTCTCGTCTGAAGTACGAATTGACTGTTTGCAATTAAGTTGATGTCATCAGTCATTGTCGCACGCAATCAAAGGAATTACAAAATCTTTGACTTTAGAATGTTATCCCACTTATATTATGAAATAATTTTCATGCTTACGGCTCCAATCATTACGAGTCGCAAATCGAGTCAATTTCTTTAATTCATATCGATAATTTAGAGTGAGATCAATTGTTACGCATCTCGATTTAGTATCAATGATATACTTTAAGTTGATTTAATTGGCTTGCTTAAACAGATCATTAATATATTAGGTATTGACAGTATCTCATATTATCCCGTTTTCCGAAAATCATATTGTGACCTTGAGTATCTTGTATAAATTACAATCTTATTAACCCCACCAACCCCACAAGATTTTTGTAATTTCAAATTTAGGTGAGCCATGAAGTGGGAGCAATTAACAATAACAATACCTAATGTATTTTTTAATCATTAAATTTCATGAATATTAAATATCTCTCACAAAACCCTTTAAAGCTTAATTTAACAGGATTCCTAATATTATGACGTACAATTAAACGTGTTTTCATGGGCTGCACTCTAAGTAAGAGTCTCAATCCAAATGACAATTTTACGGGTGATGCTGAAAGAAATGAAAATGGGAAAGAATCAGAAGTAGAACACCTAAATGGAAATGGAAATGGAGTCGACAATGACGATGATAGTGATACTGATAGCGTGAGCGAGTTTCTTTCTAACGTCAAGGAAGCTCAGACAATTGATTGTATCTACAATGATCAAAAGAGTTCACAGGTTACCAGAGACAGCTTAACTGGAAACATATCACATTTTGTGACAAAGAAGAGGGAATCGTTGTCTGTTACTTTCCGTAAGTATTTTTTAATTTACCAATAAAAAAATTATTTTTTAAATGTGCATAGCACTTATAAAACATAAGTTCCCTTCCATTGTACTTGTTGTAGCTGTAACTTGTAACTGTAACTCGTATACATGTACTATGTAGTATATAGATCAGCTTTTATTATATTACCACTAACCAGCTTATTATCATATTAAATTTAATTGAGCTAAACTATCCCTTTCGAATCCCGAATTCCAATTCAAGTTTATCATTACTATGCTTTAAAAAATGTATAGGGGTCATTCACATATTGCGTAATTTGACCAAAACCCATAATCATGGGTAGAGTGGACCGCTGCCAGTGTCTCTCTTTCCCAAACAAAAGGAAATGATATTAATTTGATTGACCGTTTTCAAATGCAAAATGATACCGAGAATGAAATCGGTCGCTCGCTTTTCCCATTCATTCACGGCTTATAGTTATACGAATTGTAATAGGTTTCGATAAATTACATCGATCACTGTATGCTGTAATAATCTCTTTGGGTTGCGTTCGGGTCGATACCTAGTATTTCGGGATAAGGGTGGTAGTTAGTGAATTAGCTGAAGTTTATTGAATCTTTATTGCTGAGTACAGCTGTCTTCAGGTATGGTAGTTCTTCTTAATCTATTACATTTGTAATTGTAAATGAATGGGAAAAGCGAGCGACCGATTTCATTCTCGGTATCATTTTGCATTTGAAAACGGTCAATCAAATTAATATCATTTCCTTTTGTTTGGGAAAGAGAGACACTGGCAGCGGTCCACTCTACCCATGATTATGGGTTTTGGTCAAATATCATCTCTTTTTGATAAATGTCAGGGTACTTTATAAAGTCGAAATATAAACTGATATCTTCAATAATAAGGAGGAAGTTTCAACGATTTCGAAATTTTTCCTTTGAAAACATTTCCTTGTGTTTGGGTAAGCATATCGGTCGATCACTGACTGAATTTGCCACTTTATACTCATTCAAGTTGGCATTAAATTTATATATAATGACATTGAACTGTCGTGGTAAAGCAGAATTTGTTCGAAATCACGAATGAGCAAAATTATCACCTTTCGCACCTGCAAACTATGAGCGGACGTTGCGTGCGCATCCAATATTGAATCGCCGTAAATTTTTGCGTGTTGGTGTTTTATATATAGTTTGATAAGCATGCAAAGTTTCAAAGTATTTCGAGAAGAACTGTAATCACAACGGCAATCTAAAGTTGACAGAAAATGGTAAAAACAGCAATTTTCAGTGATTTTAGCAATTTTTAATCAATTTGGGCGTGTCCCCACGTGTGCATCTTTTCGATTTTTAACTTTAAAACTAGCCTAATGCACAATTTATACCTATAGGAAGCAGAACTGAGCTCCACAACCCAAGGGATAGCCCAACACCAGAGAATACTAAATCGCAAAATTAAAGTTTTTATAAAATAATTCTTCAAAAAAGCACTAACTTCAATGGCAAATATCTTTATGAAGGAGCAAGGTAGGGAAACTTTCCGGTAGATTTTCAGAATGCTTAAACAATTATCTAACTTCAACATATCCTCAAATTTTGAATAAAATTACTCTTTTATGGCGTAAAATCGATTTTAAAAGTGATTACTTTGTCAAAAAACAGGTTTTTAAAATGGTTAACTTGATGACGTCATCAAGTGGTAATGATGACGTTAAATTACTTTTTAATATAATGTAAACTAAAGTCTAAACAATTATCTTCAAGACCTGTGGTCCGAGATGGCTGTATCTTTAAAGCTTCTGAATCTACGGACACCTTAATATAGCCTATAATTTACTGGCAAAGCGTCTATCCCTGAATATATCACAATGCTGGCATGCATAACCGTTGCCCTTATATTCACAACACTATGTACCCCCTATACTATTGTATCCCCTTTATTGTTTTCCAGGCATTAAGACTCATCGAAAGTAGTTCAGCAGGTATATTTAAGTTCAAAACATTCTAATTCAATGTTAAAGATGACAGGAATAAGAAATAGTTATGTGGAGGTTTTTAAGAAATTTGCGCAAAATACGCGCCAGCATGTTATACGAAATTAGGTAAAAAACCCAAAATCGCCATATTCAGGTGCCTTAAAAACCATGTTAAAATTGAGTTAGAGATCTGAAACTTTGCAGAGCGTCTAGACCTTGTCCAAATCGACTGTAAAAAAAATTTCATGTTGCAGGAGTATCGGGAAGTGGGTTTTCTGGAACCCCTGTTTTACAACAGATTGTCGTGAAGCTATATATATATATAGTATAGACGCTTTTGCAGTAAATTGTAGCCTACATTTAAGTGTCCGTAGATTCAAAAGTATAAAAGATACAGTCATTTCGAACCACAGGTTTTAAAGATAATTGTTTATACTTTAGTTTACATTATATCGAAAAATAATTTATCGTCATCATCATCACTTGATGACGTCATCAATTTAAGTGTTTTTAAAACTTGATTTTTGACAAAATAACAACTTTTCAAATCGATTTTAAAGCATTAAGGAGTAATTTTATTCAAAATCTGAGGACATTTTCATCTTAGATAATTGTTCAAGCATTCTGAAAATCTACCGGAAAGTTTTCCTACCTTGCTCCTTCATAAAGATATTCGCTATTGAAGTTTGTGCTTTTTTGAAGAATAATTTTATAAAAACACAAAAGTTGTGAATTAGTATTCTCTGGTGTTGGGCCATCCCTTGGGTTGTGGAGCTCAATTTTGCTTCCTAAAGGTCTAAATTGTGTTATAGGCTAGTTTTAAAGTTGAAAATCGAAAAGTTGCACACGTGGGGACACGCCCAAATTCATTTAAAATAGCTAAAATCACTAAAAATTGTTATTTTCACGATTTTTACCAACTTTGGAGTCCCGTTGTGATCCAAGTTCTTTTTGAAATCTTCTTAAACTTTTCATGCTTATCAAACTATATATTAAATAACACTATGCAAAAATTTATGGTGATTCAATATTTTATGCGCACGCAACGTCCGCTCAAAGTTTGCACGTGCGAAAGGTGAGAATTTTGCTCATTCGTGATTTCGAATATATTCTGCTTTCCCACGATATTAAAATGGCATTATATATGAATTTAATGCCAACTTGAATGAGTAAAAAGTGCTATATTCAGTTTGTTATTGACAGATATGCCTACCTAAACACAAGGAAACGTTTTCAAAGGTAAAATTTCGAAATCGTTGAAATTACCTCCTGACATTATAATCAAAAAGAGATGATATTTGACCAAAACCCATAATCATGGGTAGAGTGAACCGCTGCCAGTGTCTCTCTTTTCCAAACAAAAGAAAATGATATTAATTTGAATGACCGTTATCAAATGCAAAATGATACCGAGAATGAAATCGGTCGCTCACTTTTCCCATTCATTCACGGCTTACGTATTGTAATAAAGCTTATTGAATGGGAAAAGCGAGCGACCGATTTCATTCTCGGTATCATTTTGCATTTGATAACGGTCATTCAAATTAATATCATTTTCTTTTGTTTGGAAAAGAGAGACACTGGCAGCGGTTCACTCTACCCATGATTATGGGTTTTGGTCAAATATGTATATCTGTATATCTGTATATCTGTATATGTCCCGACAATCTGTCGTAAAACAGGGGTTCTAGAAAACCCATTTCCCGATGCTCCTGAAACTTGAAACTTTTTTTGCAGTCGATTTGGTTAACGTCTAGACGCCCTGCAAATTTTCAGATCTCTAACACAATTTTAACATGGTTTTTAAGGCACCTGAATATGGCGATTTTGGGTTTTTTACCGAATTTCGTATAACATGCTGGCGCGTATTTTGCGCAAATTTCTTAAAAACCTTCACATAACTATTTCTTATTCCTGTCATATTTAACATTAAATTAGAATGTTTTGAACATAAATATACCTGCTGAACTACTTTCGATGAGTCTTAATGCCTGAAAAACAATAAAGGGGTATAATAGTAAAGGGGGTATAAAAGTCAAGCCCAAGGGGGTAAATAGTAAAGGGGGTAAATAGTAAAGGGGTTAAATAGTAAAAGGGGTAAATAGTAAAGGGGGTAAATAGTAAAGGGGGTAAATAGTAAAGGGGGTAAATAGTAAAGGGGGTAAATAGTATTGTGAATATAAGAGGCACGGTCATGCTTGCCAGCATTGTGATCAACTGAGGGGGGGGGGGGGGGGTTCCGAATGATTACGCTAGTGTAATTTTGACACAATAGCTATGTGTAAAACTGATTACGGGGGGCGGGGGGGGGCCGGGGGGGGGGGGGGGGGGGTAAAAATGTTCCAAAAAATGATAACGTAATACTAATATGTGAACGACCCCATATTTTAAAGGTTTTCTTCTACTAGGAAGGTTGTCGAAAGAAAAGCGGCGGGACACTTTTGGGCGTGAAGTGAAAGTCAGCCCATTTCATTCATCCTCAACACCAGACTCAGTTGACGAATACGTCTCATCTCTGAATGTAGCAAAAAAATCGATGAACGAAAGGAGGAAATCTGTAGCCACATATGATCAGGATGACGATGAGGAAATGGACCTTCTGAAGATCAGGGACAATCCAACCCGAGCAAGGAGGCTGTCCTCTCGAACCCCTAAATTTCAACCAATACAAGAGTTAAGAATGGAGTCTCCGCCTGTCCATTTTAAATCACGCTGACAGCTTGATGTTGTTAAATTATGACCTTCAGTTACTGCGTTCTTTAAGCTCCATCAAATACCTAAGTTTGGTATAATGATTATGGCCCATACATGTGGCATTTTTTGTACTGTGTACACTCATCAGACAACTTGATTTTTCCTTCACTATCAACACTTTTCTATTCGATTTTGACGTACGTGAGAGAATAAATGTGTGATATTGTCGAACGGATTGAAATAAAATCAGTTAACAGATTCCATTAACTAAATAATTAACAATCACAATGAGAGGACTTTAGTTTCAGAGTATTTGCAAGACAATAAAGCATGCATCAAATATGCAGTATGACAGGAAAACGGTTATCCGAAAACCTAGATATTTTCTTTGCTTATGGCGGCAAACTTCCGCATTTATTTTTACCATGGAGAAAAAGTTTTTATTACAAGCTAATTTTCTGATTGACATATCTACATTTATTTTTTAGTTGAAAAATAAAGCACACAATTTTATTCATATCAATTGAAATTGTAAAATGATTATATTTATACGTTGTAAACAGTAAAACTTGTAAAAATATCAAATCGAATGATTACATGATAATTTAAATGATGCATCTTTCCTTTAAAGATTGAGTCTACCCTTTGCAGTGACTTCTAGAAGTACTAAGGATGAAGGAACTGCTATAATTAGCAAATTGTCTTTGATTTTAAAACTTGAACCGACATTTTTATGCCCGCCTGGATATAGCAGCTGGACTGTCTAGATGTGTGGGTCGCAAATTCTCAGTGTTGATCTTAAAAGATTTTCAAAGAAATCATGATTACTTGATCTTTCCTGTAATCACTTTAACAGACTGCTACTAGATACCGAATTAATAACTGAAATTCGATCACGTGATAATTATAAATCTGCGTGAAAGCAGTCGGCGTTAAGATTTTACCGGTGCAGCGGCTAGTACAATGTACACCTAATACATTCCAAATGTTTCCGCAGACTATTACTCCACCAGGCCTAGGTCATGTCGGTTGGAATTGTAGTTTTCATATTCATAACAACAATTACAACATATTTTCAATCTTATCGGACGATTATTGATCGAATGACTCACATATGTTTATCAATGCATAAATCAATTCCAAAACATTAGATACATCTTTCGCTAGTAGTAGTATAAACAGGACGATAAGATTAACAACTTAGTCTTAGATAATATCACAGTGTCGTTATGTGAATAATTATTATATTAATCATGAAGTTTCAAAGAGGGCCAATACACAAAAGCAATCTATACTACACCAAATTCCGAAACATTTCACAACTACCATTACCAAAAGCTATTAAAAATCTGCTACCAATTATTGACTAATAAAAGAAATAAAACAGCTAAACTAAAAGTACTATATCAATATGAGGTGAATGAAATAAGAAATTAAAAGCCCACTTCACAAGGGTTTCGAAATTCGCGAAATTATTGCTTCCGATGAATATTTTAAGGGTTCGGGTCTTACAGAATCTGACTCTGAACCCGCTGTTAGTCAGTTATTTTGTTTCAGTCATCAAAACCTAACATTTTTAACCCTGTCAATTAAGGGGGCATACACCAAAACAGTGGTTTGTGCCGTCCAGACCAAATGACCTCATAGGCAGTTCAGTGACCTTCTAGCGCACCGTTTCCACACCAAAAAAAATTATTTTGAGAATACCCATTTTTGTAATCGATCATTTCCTGGTTGAGAGTGCAATTTTCGGAAAAAATTATTTTGTGGTTGAGACGCTATAAACTAATCATTTCTTGCGGTATCGGATTGAAATTTTGCTCGCCGTTTATTCACATCTATTTCAAGGTGTGTGTAAAATCTTGATATCGTATCTAAAAAGGCTGGTGTGTTATGAATTTTTAAAGTCAAAAAGCTAAAATTGTCCTTTTCAGGCTTATTTTAACAAAAAGACAGTCAGGGAAGATCGGATTGATTTGATGCTTGACATCAAATTGTTCTCTGAATTCTGGCGCAGTTTTTGATGCCCTCAAAAATGTTTTTACTCATTCAGCTTCAGATGTATTGGACCTCAAAGCCAAACAACAAATTTAGGCACATTTTTCGTTTTTAATATTTACTGATTTTTCTAAAATTTTGATAGGAATGTGCTAGTGACTTTTTGAAGGGTGCAAAATAACCGCAACTAGCACATTTATATATGAGTTATGAACAACAAAACACCCTAAAATGCTTCCCTTTGAAGTTATGGGAGAAAATGTGATTTTTTATCTGCAAAGCCAAAAAATCACATTTTATCCCATAACTTCAAAGGGAAGCATTTTAGGGTGTTTTGTTGTTCATAACTCATATATAAATGTGCTAGTTGCGGTTATTTTGCACCCTTCAAAAAGTCACTAGCACATTCCTATCAAAATTTTAGAAAAATCAGTAAATATTAAAAACGGAAAATGTGCCTAAAATTGTTGTTTGGCTTTGAGGTCCAATACATCTGAAGCTGAATGAGGAAAAACATTTTTGAGGGCATCAAAAACTGCGCCAGAATTCAGAGAACAATTTGATGTCAAGCATCAAATCAATCCGATCTTCCCTGACTGTCTTTTTGTTAAAATAAGCCTGAAAAGGTTTTTGACTTTAAAAATTCATAACACACCAGCCTTTTTAGATACGATATCAAGATTTTACACACACCTTGAAATAGATGTGAATAAACGGCGAGCAAAATTTCAACCCGATACCGCAAGAAATGATTAAGTTATAGCGTCTCAACCACAAAATATTTTTTTCCGAAAATTGCACTCTCAACCAGGAAATGCTCGATTACAAAAATGGGTATTCTCAAAATAATTTTTTTTGGTGTGGAAACGGTGCGCTAGAAGGTCACTGAACTGCATATGAGGTCATTTGGTCTGGACAGATTTGGTGTATGCCCCCTTAAGGCATAAGGGGTCGTTCACATATTATTACGTAATCACCTTTTGGACATTTTTTAACCCCCTCCCCCCTCCGTAATCAGTTTTACACATAGTTATTGTGTCAAAATTACACTAGCGTAATCATTTGGAAACCTTCCTCCCCCTCGGCCTCGGCTGATTACGTAATTTGAACGACCCCTAAGTCAAAGTTTGTCACCAATCATTATTTAATCCTATGTTTAATTAAAATTGTCACATCTACTTCTATTTCTAGTAGCAAAACTTGGGAACAGCAATAAAATCGTCTTGTGAGTGTTTACTGATGACTGAAAATCTTCACTTTCAGGTCACTTACACTCCCTGGGTGTGTATTTGAACTCTTATGTTCGTTTAATTGCAGAATATTGTTCACCCTAAAATGAAATGTCTATTGCATATTTGCGTTGACCGCAAAGCCAAAAGTCCCAGACCTAGGTTTTTCATCTTTTATGGCGTTTTCATTTTTGGTGTGAAAAATTGGCTTCAAAGTGCAGGTGTTCCGGACAGATCTGAAGTTCGACAGAATGATTGATAGTGACAGCGTAGATCGAATAATTTCACTTGGAGTTGGAACTGATGACGTCACAATGTTTCTTTGTGGTCATGCGATGAGGGCGTCACTGTATGAATAAAGTGACCGTTTCAGTACACGACTTCAATAGCAATGTCGCTTCTTCTCGGCTGTAATCCTCGATGCTTTTGCCGTTAACAGAAATTATCTGGTCACCCCGCTTTAGTTTACCGTACGCAGGTCCTGGGGACAATTTCTTGTTAATTTCGTTAGATATCAGAAAGTATACACCAGGCTAGCAAGCTTGATTTAGTTCGACAATGTAAGAAAATTAATTCTTGAACTAAGTCTGATTTAATTCAATCAGCTTAATAAAGATCGATCACAATTTGAAATATCTGTGGTGGACATGATTATGTTGACAAAAGTTTAACTTACCATTTTCGAAGACCTGTTTGATGGTTATTGGCAGAGATGGAACATTGTCTTTTCCTCCTACAATGCTAAATCCAAAGCCGTCCTGAGATCTCGTTAACTTAACCATCTTGAAATCAGGCCTGAGGTGGAAAGAGGAGCTGATTTTCAAAAGTTAGGACACAAAATATCCACAAAATCTGTATAAAGTTTATAAACTAATAACACTACGGCAAATAGGTACAACCCCTACAGTGCCGACCAGCTCTTAACCGGCTAAAAGCCGGCTGTCACGGTTACAGCTCTGACATCAGGTTCACCCTTAACCTACTCTAGCCCATACCTATTGGTATCAGGATCCGTGACCACCAAAGTAACGGGAGTCGTAGCCTCCTTAAGTAGCCTCACTGCATCCTCATGACTAAAGTCCTCTACGTTTGTGCCGTTTATGGAAACTATTCTGTCTCTTTCCTGGGTGAAATGTGGGTAAAAGAGGAACGCTTTCTAATTTCTATCAATTGGAAATCTTAATAAGTTATCCACTCGAAGTCGAACGGCTTTCCATAGGAATCAAAAATGAAACGATAAGCTGAGGGAAAACAGTGTGGTACCTTGAGGACTCCCGCTCTAGCAGCAACGCCACCCTTTGTTAATGACGATATAAAGAGAGGTATTGAACCTAGTGGCCAGCCTCTTCCACCACCTAAACTCAATCCTAGTGGCTGATTCTTTTCCTGAAACGATGGGGTTATTAAAGTCTAAAGAGAGGCGTAATCGTATCGGTTACTATTCTGACACAGCAGAATTTCAGAAGAAGTTTCAGCTAAATAATGCTGTTTGTGCTTTCTCATTTCTGCAAAATGTGCTTTCTGCAATGTGCTTTCAAGTTTCAAAATTATGAAGGACAACAACATAACTGGTGATAAATTCTAATAAAATAACATCCTCGGTCCAAAAATACCGGAAGAGTACCTGAAGGTTAAGAAGTAATAAGTTAAAGTATAAATATAATAATTTAGCTGTGCTCCAAAAAAACATACCGTGTCCGTAAATAGTGCTTTGGCGCATATATAATATATATACTACTAAGACATTACTACTACTAGCGAAAAGCACTTTGAGCTAGCCTTACATTATCACCCGGACCCAACTTAATTCCTCCGGCTATAACAATACCCAAAATACCATCAGGTCCCTAAAAAACGTAGACTTGTAAATCACAAAATGTGATTTAAAACGTTTTAAATAAAGTTCGAGGTAACCATAATATCTATTTTTAATGGGCATAATATAGTGGCAGTCTATGCTATATTGCGATCAACCTGCTACTTTCCCAAACTGTTTTTGTAGATGTCATTTTAAAGATATATTTAAGATATTATATCAGGTCTTTACAAGTAATCTTAGTTTTTAAATTCTCGTGTGATTTGAATGACATTAATTTATGTGTTACAAATTATTTTAAAAGCTGTCTGACTGTTAAAATATAAGAACACATACCCGGTAGAGATTAGCAGTCCTAAGAACGGGGGGTTTCGGCTTCGTGTAGCTGTTAGACGACATATTAGACCGGGTATCGTGCGGTCTAAACACAATTTAGATACATTAACAATCGAGAGAAGTGAATCCTTTCTAAAAAGATTTTAAACAATTTGAATTTTTCTACAATTCGGACTCAAAATTAATCAAGAATGACTGCTAACCTGGAGTCAAAGGATTGGACACTGTGGGTAGAGATACTCTGGACACTGTACGAAGGAGCGTAGTCCGACTGAAGACTGGTAACTGAGTAGTGGGTCAAGCTGTCCGTCCTCTGCTGATCCCCTGTAATTGTATAGTGTATTAATTAGCAATTAACATAATCGAGTTGAAACGTAAATCATATTTCTCATCTTTTAACATATTTTAAGGTGGTGAACTAAAACAATATTGGCAATACTGTTAAAGTGATAGTGATGTATAGTAATATTGATTACATCTTACAAATTGTTGTTTTAACTGCAAAATGATGTGAGTATCAGTAATACGTACGGTCGGTTACATTAGATCGTTTGGACTGGGTACTGTGTGTAGAGCGAGAAGGAGAAGGGTGTCTGGGCTTCCTGTTCATCTGCCTTCCTGACTGTTCAGATGATCTCCGAGATTGGTTGTCTGGTTCTCTGTACCTCTCTCTTGAATCCCTCCCACTAAAGTCCCGCTGTGAAGCTGGCAAGCTGCCAAATTCTTTCTGTGACCCGTGTTGAGTACTGCCATAGTCTCGTTGTGAACCGTGAGGACTCGAGTTTCCTATGTCTCTGTAAGACCCGTGGAAGGAGGATTGCTCCATGGCCAGGTCTCTGAGGGAGTGTTGAGGACTCATGTTAAACTCCCTTTTACTACCAGGATGACTAGGGAAGTCCCTGGTAGACCCTTGGGGCGTGCTGTGTCTGTCAGAACCGTAGTCATGGTCCCGTGGCATGTCGTACTGATCCCGGGCGGAACCGTGGTAACTAGCATTACTCAAATCTCGTTGAGAATTAGGGTAACTGTTCAAATCTCGCTGTGAGCCATGATTACTATAATTCAAATCTCGTTGGGAACCTTGGTAACTATTGAGATCCCGTTGAGAACCCATATCTCTCAATGAACCAGACAGGTTTTCCAACTGGGAGTTATGATAGCTGACTGGATCCCGCTGCAAACTGTGGTGACTATTGTCCATTAACACCTGCTGCTGCTGCTGACTACCTAGCTCTCTCTGGGAACCAAAAGCGGACCCCGTCTGACTGTCTGGCCCGGTTGCTCTCATCTCTTTAGGTGATCCAATGGGAGTGTTGCTGGATCGGAAGGAGCCCCGGGGCGAGCTGTGAGGGGACCGGTTGTAGGAGCGATGAGAGAGTCGGGGAGAACTGTGGGGAGAGTGGGTGGACTGGGGGTGTTGTGCTAGGGGAGAGGGAGGTGGGGACTGTCTCATCAGCCCTCGGGAGGAGTGGAGGGATCTTTGGGAGGAGTAGGGTGAACCTGTAGGGAAGAGATATTCAGAGGATTGTTGATAATAATACACTTTCAATTTTTGTCCAAGTTTAACTTATTAAGATTTTAAAATATTGTGCACCGAATGATGTTAAATCGTCAAATTTAAATCACTGTAACATTAAACATAAGTTAAATAAGTACCTCTAGAAGAAGGCTGGCTGTTCCGTGCACTGCCAGCGGAGGATCTCTGAGGAACAGGGGACTGTTTAGCACTTGGGGACTGTTTCTGTGAGGAGGACGTAGATCTGTTGTCTGAGTCTCTTGTCGGAGTTCCCACCACTAGTTCTACCATGCTGCCACAGCTCTGTAAGATATTATGGTAACTTAACTCTTGGGCAAGAGCGATGGGAACAGAAATTATGGCTTGAGATTGAGGTTGTTTGGGTTTAAAACTAAATTAAATCTACAGTACAAAAACACTAACCCTTGAAAATTGAAAAACCCTACCTTGAGGATAGCGATGAAGTCAGGTTGCCTCATGTACTTGACATTCTGTCCGTTGATATTGAGAATCCTCTGACCACGCTCTACACCACCATGTTTCTCTGCCACACCTCCGGGCGTTACTTTAGAGATGTAGATACCAGGGTTAGACCTCTTTTCTGTGATACTTAACCCGAGACTTCCTGAGAAGAAGATCTTAGATGTGACAGGGTAAAGTAATATTGGTCATAACCTCAAAGGATTTGTTTTATTTAAGTTTAGTTACTTCACATCGAGTTAATCAATCAACTTAAGTCTAGCAATTGAAGCAATAAGAAACCTGATTTGGGTTTATCGAGGATGACATCATGCAGCTGATACATGGGGGAGTCTCGCTTCACCTCTATCTCAATATGTGCTTTCTTTTCCGATAATAAGATGGCAGCATCCGACAGTGCCATGTCTCGAGTGCTCTGAAATTATATTGATTTAACATGAGTGAGACAGTTGATCCTGATTTTCAAGATGGTGAGCAATATCACAGAGTACCTTGAAGAATATACGGCTGTGCCTAAAGCGTTTTACTAACTCAGTCTCGGGCATTAAAATCACCTCCCAATTATTTGAAGCTTTTAGGTTGCGCCGTATTCGTTTTAGAGGTCTATAATCTTTCGTAGCCAACAAATCAAACCCAACGACCCACAATTTGATCTTGGGTCGTTTGTTGGTAGAAATGAGCCGCCATGTTGATTTGGTTTTGAGTGCGTAAGTTAAGCTCTGCATTATAAGTTCTACCTTATCATGATCATCAGACATATTGTCACTTATTCTAGACAATTTCATTATAAACTACAGATAATTAGATATAAGCAGAATAGCAGATACTATTAATCTTGAACAGCCTGAATTTACCAAGCTCCGCAAAAATTGTTGAATCGTTTTTCATTGTTTCACAGATATTCGAAGAATTTCAAGATTGACGTAGTTTTACGGAAAGAGTATTAATTTCAAAGCTAATTGCCAAGTTAAGCAAGTTATCAAGCATTCAAATGATAAGGAACTTGTTACGGAGGAATTTATTGCTTGATAAAAACGATCACTTCCTCCGTATCAATCTGAACACGCTAATTTTGACTGCACTATAACTGCTAGACCTTGTGATAACATGATAACTGTTTCCTTTGTTAACTTTAATAACCTGACGATTGCCTTTAGTTTTTATGTAAATTATTGGTTTAGGTGTCCGAGTGTTGGTAAGTGGTAACAATACATTAAATTTTACCCTTATGGAAGACAGGTGATCCTGTGATCTGATAATCAAATAATGGTGAATATTGCATGGGCATCCTTACACTTGCATCTGATCCAGTGATCCTGCCTGTATTTATTTGGTGATGTGATCCGAACTCAATTATAACGGTGTTACAGATCACGTCACAAGACTACTTCAGGTTATACAACCGACTCGGTTCGCATGACACGTTACCTTGTTGGTGACGAGGCATCAAGGTCACCACAAGGTGAGCCGGATCTGGTGGTGATTATTGCAGGACGACACGTGCTATTACGAACTAATAAATCTGAATATATATGGTGCTCTGTTTTCAGAATAGTATCATATTCGTTTTTATCATCCTCTAGCTCTCAACTATCAACAATTACCTTCAATTACTACAGTCTATACCTCAACATGAATACCTCAACATTCCTCTCCAAAGAACGACCCATCTCATCTGTATTCCCCTCTCACAGCTCACCAGACAACTGTTCCACTCCAGTTACTACTCCCACTTTCTCATACCTTCAAGGTGAACCTGCCTACAACCGAAGCAGGTGTTCTGCTGGTAATCTCACCTTCAAGAAGAAACTGGGATCCCGACTGACAGCTTTTAAACATCTTCTGAGAAATTAACTCTATAGAACCTAACTGAACCCTTTAACTCTGGATTCGAACATACGTTACCTCTGGACTTCAGCCTGTTACCTCTCGATCCAAATTGTTACCTCTGGACTTCAGCCTGTTACCTCTGGACCCAAATTATTACCTCTGGACTTCAGCCTGTTACCTCTCGATCCAAATTGTTACCTATGGACTTCAGCCTGTTACCTCTCGACCCAAATTTTACCTCTGGACTCCAGCTTGTTACCTATGGACCCAAATTGTTACCTTTGGACCCAAATTGTTACCTCTGGACCCAAATTATTACCTCTGGACCCAACCTGTAACCTCTCGACCCACATTGTTACCTCGCGACCCAACCTGTTACCTCTGGATTCAAATCAGTTACCTCTGGACCCCACATTAACCCTGGATTCAATCTTCTACCGTTGAACCCTAACCTGCTACCGATGGACAAGGAATTATCATTATTTGTGGATTATTATGTGCGACTCATTTATAACTTTTTTTCATCTACACAAAAGTTCTCTTTGGTTCAAAATTATTAAGACCATCTCAATGATGAAATGAAATTGATCTAAACAACAATAACAATTACAGCATATTATCATAAACAATAAATAAATAAAACTGGGAACAGGGAATACATTTAAAACTCACGTTCTCGTTGATACGAATGATGAGGTCTTGTGGCCAAACAAGTTGCTGTGCAGGAGAATTGTTCGTGATGGACTTCACAAGGATACCCTCAGAATGGGGGTAAGAGAAGAGGATGATGCCAGAACCACTGTCACCGTTAGCTATTTTCATGGGTATTGTATCCACCTGTTGATAGGGTTGAGATTAGATTTAGTGTAGTAGTGATTGTCTGAACTTTTTTAATGTTATTTAATGTAATACAATATAAGTGGTTTTTTCTTTGTTATTGATTGGTTTTTGTAATTTAAAGCCAACCTGCCAACTATAATTCTGGGTTTGACTGCTATTCACATAGTTGTAAAATCATGAGTTCAACATAATCAATTTAGATGTTGGGACTCGTCGGGAAAAGGAGAGAGTACAGTGAATTTAACAGCAAGAATAGCACATTTAGTTATTTTAGCCTGATCGATTAAATCAATTGACCGAACGACAATTAATCAGTAATCAAGAAGGTAGCGATTAGTTAATAGACAATCTTGCCTGGCAACACACTGCCACAGTGCTTCTCATGGATGAATAACTGCTCCCGCACTAAAAATAGTTAAATCTAAACAGACCAATCTTAACGAGGGACGGAATCAAGAAAAACACACACTGTGACACTGCTATCACTCAGTAAACAATTACTGAATTGCCTAAATATTGTAGACGAACGGCCCAAATCGACAATCTCACACTGACACAAACAAACTGTCTCCTTACAAGAGAACATAAAGTAAATATTGATATTCCTGATCATGTACCTCAATAGGAGAGTCGTGCCAGGAGATCCTTCTGTCACCAGAAGGAGCTCTCTCCCCGGTATCTTGTCTCCTTAAAACAGGAGAGCTCCTCTGAGAATGGTCGGTTAGTGACACTGCATCTCCCTGCTTCCAACTCTCGTTTGTTAACCTACTGGTGTTCATAACCTGCAGATGTAATGTTATTTAGTGTTCATCACCTGTAGATGTAATGTTATTTAGTGTTTATGCTTTTATTTCCTTTCCATTTATACGTTAGCAAGTTATAAACTGTATGTTATATCGTTATTATGCACAGTATTAGAATAAAAGACATTTATTTTGAGAGAAATATTAGACTTGGGCGTTGTTTTCACTATACTTTATTTACAACTTTCTATTAAATATATATCGAGATAAACTTAAGTTTTATCAAACGAATAACTTATGCCATTTTGCTGATCCGGTCAACTAAGTGCTTTTATAAATATAACTGATGAACAGCTTACCTCGCCGTAAGACGGAGTCTGAGATCTAAGTGACCCAGATGGAGTGACATGTGACCCAGATGGAGTCACATGACCCGGTGAGCTTGTTTCCAACCTCTCAGAGGGTAGGGGCTGGTCCAGTGTGTGGATCGGACTGTGCTGACTGTGGGGTAATGTTTTATTAGTCCACTTGATTTAGATTTATTTCCAGCAACAAAAAACATTGAAAACTTATTGGCTATGGACAGACAAACAGCTTCATATTGCATAACATTGACGAGAAATCGATGAGTTAACAACTTTACCTGAACTTCTCCGACTGATAGGACCTGAGGGAGATATTATCAGGAGTCATATTGTCAGTCCTCTTGAGAGCAGCAATGTCTGGTTCTGAGGATCTGACGCTCGCATCACGTGACCTGTCCCAGTCTGTAGGGTAGGAGGGAGGAGGGGCGGTGTTCTGGAGGGGGCCCTGGTGGTCCACCTCCACGTACGGTAAGGGGGACCCGGCTGAGGGGGCGTTCTCCTGGAACAGGGTGTAATTTAAAGAATTCGAAATTATTATTTTATGTCGATACAGCAAATATTGCTGACTCAAATGATCACAAACGGTGTACTACTCTATCATCAAGAGTTTTAATGACTGAGGGTGCCAGTATTCTAACCTTATCACTGTTGGAGGAGTTGACTTGAGCGACAGCCATGTTGGGTCGTGTAAGCAGGAGGGTCACATCCCCCTCCACCTTCCTAAGGATGGCTATGGCCTTGTTCCGGGACAGCCCCGTTAGTCGGTGTTCATTCACCGCTAGAATCTGGTCTCCTGCACAGAACTTGTTATAAACTCTATTGACATGATGTAACTTATTGGTGTAAACTTGCAAAAGAGTTCAGTGTTTTATATGAATGACAATATCTAATGTGCATGGAAACAGGAACGCTCCTGCCAAGGCAGCTTCATCCCTAGAAAGTTTTCGTTGTAAAATTCCAAAGAAACAAAGAAACCGCACCTGGTCTGATGTTGTCACATTGACTAGCTGGGAAGTTATCAAAAATGTTCTTCACAAATATTCCATCTCCTCGTTGTACCGTGTTTATTCCGAGGGAGGTTGTGCCGGACTTCTTTATCTTCACAGTGAACGCATTCTGGTGTATTCCATATCCACCTGAAAATAACGGAAGATCATAATTACAGTGATTGAAGTTTGGGAAACAGTCATAAATAGTTAATTAATGGAAATATCTCAGATCCGTCAAAATGTACATATTTAGATAAAACATGACGTACCAAGTTTGGCGCTATTTGCAGGGGACTGTTCAGGACTATAATAAGATGGAGCTGGTTCCATGTTATGGTGTACTGTAACTGGTGCCAAGTGGTCTTGCTTCTGGAGCATAAGGTCTTGTTTCGGTTCCAGGACTGGGGTTCCCGGCAAAGAGTTTATCGGAGTCACCTGATAGAAGTAAAGGTTTTACTTTTCATTTTGATGAGACGAGACTTGTTAATATCATTATGCTCTTGTTTATTATGGGGCTGGAATCTGGAAACAAATTCACAAGACTGCTGTTTAATATTCTATAATTTGTAATATGATGTGTGGTGTTGGTTATAGTAAGTATTAATGTTGATATGAATTGACTATGAGTGAGAGATGTAATTTAGGTAAGCTGGAAACAAGAAGGAAACTATCTAAAACAACCACCTCACAATCCTCCTGAACACAATTCCCGACCCTTATATCCTCCTCACTTCCAAAGTAGAGCCGTCCGTACAGATCAGGTGAGCCATGACCAAATATCTTGAGAAAACTGGGGAATGTCTCTGAAGTATCACAACTGAAAGTGTTCTCCTCGAGATCAAGGTAGTGGCTACGAGCAGAGCTCCCATTAGGCGGATATCCATACACCTCCTCTGGTGGTGGCTCACTGAGACTTAACCTCTCTGAATCTTGTAAATATTCACGCTCGTGGGAGAAACTGAATCTTCTTATTCCGGATTTAGGGGGCGGTACCTGTTCACATGACCCATCACTCATCATCAGATCTATATCCAGAATAACACCAGAAGACGGGACATCATCGTATATATTGAGCCCACCCTCAGATTTAGACTGGCTCTGGTAACCTAGATCGTAAGAAGGTCTGCTGACTTCTGTCAGACTCACTACCTCGTCACTGTACTCCTCTCTGTAGAGCAGGTTCCTCAGCGTGCTGGTCATGTGTTTACTTTTACTAGTTTCAGAGGGAGGAGGGTTGATGAGGAACCCGTTAGATAGGATGAGGTTCTGTTGGGAGACAGTGAGAGTGAGGGTGCTGGAGGCTAGGGAGGGACGAGAGGAGCCAAGGGAGGAGATAGCATCTAGTTCTTCGTCAAACCATGTCCAGGATTTTATTGACATGGCGAAGGACTATCACTTTTAAGCACTCTATTTTCGTCAAAAGTTAAGTTTGCAATGGTAGATATTGTGGTTCAGAGTATTAAACAAAGGTGAACCAGATAAACAACAGCTTGTAACAAAGAAACTACCACACAGCCAATAGTGAAGACTAACTGTCTATCGAAACACCGATGTATGTACAGTTCTTACAATAAACCACAACACCAAATCTCCTTCGTTTTAAAGTGTGAAGTACACAGCGATCTATGTTGCAGCTCAGGATAATGTCCACAGAGGGGGTGCACTGTGCAGAGATCTTGTTGTTTTCGTGTACAGATCTCAGCTGAGCAGGAAACAATTATCTGAACAGTTAGCAGCTAGGGTAAGGACTGGTAAGAGGACTGTTCTCCACAGCACGTTTTTATGTGATCTGTTAGATAAGCTTGGGTGGCGCGAAAGTAATGTTACATCTTATAAATTTCCTCAGAACGGTAAGACAAGTTGTTGTAGATGTAACCAAATTAGCTGTACTCCAAAAGAATAAACTGAAAAAAGGCCCAGATAGTTTCAAATAACGTTGACCTTGAAGCTGAACTCGAAACATAGATGTCAACATAATATGCTTGTAAACAAAGTATGGAACGGGCGTGGAATGCTAAAAATGTTTGAAGCTTCAAGATGGAGTGTGAATGCCGCGTGCAGGGAACAGAATTCTGGTTATTTTTATATTAACAAGCATTAGTATTTAGTACAGTTGAGAGCGTTATAAAATGTCTGTAGAAATAATAGATTTCTTTTTGGTCTGGAGCTTACCATCATCTTTTCGTGTTTTCCACTTACATCCACACACGACCATATTTCATTTTCTACGTTCGAAAAATATTATATATCATAGAAGATACAAATACAAAAATGGTAACTCAAGAAAAATATACAGCATTGTATATTGATAAATTTGTTGAAGAATTAATGAGTCAAGGCTGTAACTTAGACAAAGAAATTATCGATTTTTTGACATTTATTTTGTTACCAAAATATGTTTATGAGAATTTCTCTTATCTTTCCCATGTGACAACGTGCATTTTAGATTTTTCTATATTAGACAAATATGATAGCTGAAAAATAATGAAACTTAGGCGGTGACATTGTTAATCAGAATACCTTAATACTGAAACAAACCCGGAAATAGAAAATGTTAACTGTTAAGATCTAAATTCTGAAATTTACAACTTTTGGGATTTCAACCCCTCACCCATTCCCACAGCAACAAAAACATGACTTTCAAAATTGGAAGAAGTACATCAGGATCGATATGACTTGGACAGGCTGTTAAAATGATACGAATAGAACATTAAAGCTGAAAGGACTTATCTATCATGAATACGAAGGGTTCTGTTCCTCACGCAGTCACGATACGGAAAATATGACTCGTAATTAAATTATTAAAGTGGAGCGGTGGTCGGGCTGGTCCCGGACTTTATTAAACTGGAGCAACAACATTTACGGTTATAAATTATATTCAATTTAGGATCTATATTTTAGTCTCGTAGAGATGATGAGGAATGGGTTTTGAGTCGCGTTTTGAATTTAAAATGATATTTGGAGCCACTTGTAATCTGAGGATTCTTTAAATTTCTTCAAAATGAATAAGCGTATCCTCAGAATAATTTGGAAAATGAGTTTATCAAAATGGAATGCCAAAGGTAAAGAACTGAAGATAAATAGGCTTCGTATTAATTTTACATATTATTATAACTTTGTAACAACAAAATAGTTTCAGAACAGGATAATGGAGGTTCGTTCTCATACAATCTTAAGCTTAGCGAGCATTAACGAGACAAAAGTATTAAAGTGCTGCAGTATCCGTTGTCCATAAAACAAAGCATGTAGACACAATACCCACAAAAAGGACAGACAGGCAAGACCATCCTGCTTAGAGGCCTACAAGCTCTCTCCTAACGTAACCACGTGATAGGTGAATACATCACGTGATGCGCGGCTCAATAATAATAATCAACACGTGCACAACAGTGTCACGTGATGCGCGGCTCAATAATAATAATCAACACGTGCACAACAGTGTCACGTGATGCGCGGCTCAATAATAATAATCAACACGTGCACAACAGTGTCATGTGATGAACCCATTACGTAGTTAGATAATTTATAGAAATGGAGTGTTGGCTTGCATGTGTTTTGCGAAAAATAATGACATTGTTAAGCTAGATCTGTGAAACGTTTAGAAGCTAGCAGCTTGAAGCTGGAGGCAAAAGCGTATCTTATAGGACTGAATTGTGTGGACCATTTTGGAATAAAATAATATAAGATTAGTGTTGAAATTAATCTAGGGATCAGATTAGCACGGAATTTTAAGCTATGTAGTTCTGAAATGAGAGTACATTAATATTTAAATCCTGGGGATGATTGCGTTCTTCCAAATATTTAGATAACTCAACACATCAATGACCAATTACCGCACATTTCCCTGTCTAATTAGTAATTAGTATAATAACGATGGATGTTATTGTTTGTTTAGTTCATTGTCTGCGTCATCATTCATTTAACAAACTTCGACAAACTCATTGTGTTTAGCAGTAATGATTGTTGGTTGCAATACCGTTGGAAAATGAATACTGTTGCTTTCTTAGTTTTATCAGTAGTTGTATCAGTGGAACGCGCATCAACGGAGAACCCCGAACTAGGTGAGCCTTTAAGAAACTGCAACAACGAATCCACATCAAACAATCCTATGTGACACAGTGTGTTCATTGTACGGCGAAACTAAAAACACCTGATTCCACCACTGCACGAGTGTAAAATCATCAGCTGGCTGAAATGAAAGAAAATTTCAGTGTAGGTCAAGGTTTGATCTGCGTTAATGAAACAAAATTGTACATTTGTAGTAAAATTTCTGAACAAGATCAATCTAATTTCAGGTAAATCGTGCATGGTGCGAGGACAGCTTGTTAACCACGGACAATCAATCAGCACGAACGATTGTAACGCGTGTAAATGTGTGTTTGGCGCGACGGTCTGCACCCAGCACCCTTCATGTGACACGCCCACTACATGTAAATACGGAGACAACCTGTACGTCCCCCAGGGAAAGTTCACTCAGACGGACGGAAGGGAATGCGAGTGTTTGGAGTCTGGGGAGACAGCATGTGAGAAAGAGTTGTGTGAGTATCCTGGGTACGGTGAGATAGAGCAAGGCGCGTCCGCTAACATCGGTTGTAAACTCTGCACGTGCAGAAACCGTCAGCTAACGTGCAGGGAGACTGACATGTGCAATCCGAGGGTTTCAGCAGATGGGTCTGTTTGTAACTTGGAGGATGGAAGAGTGGTGTTGAGTGGTCTATCAGTGCAAGTTGATTGTAATACCTGTGTGTGTCAGGACGGCTTTCTGGTCTGTACTCGGCGTATTTGTGGTTCTGATGGAATGTCTCAGAGCTGTATACTCGCTTCAGGAGATACAATCCAGCACGGAGAAAGGCAGATAAAGGATTGTGAATCTTGCGAGTGTAGTAATGGCGAGGTTACCTGCACTCGTTTCTGCTCCGAAACTACCGGCTGTCAAATTGATGACATGATGTTACGGGATGGACAATCCTATGGGGACTGTGTTTGCGTGAATACTGAACTGATCTGTGCTGAAAATGATGATAGAATCTCAGAACTGAACCCAGCTGATCCCAAGAGTCCTGACACCAGAAAATCATGTGGAACTTTAGATGACGGGCGGATGGTTTTCATAGGATCCAAAGTGAAGACAGCAGATGGGCGGGAATGTCAGTGCTCAGAATCAGGATCTTATATGACGTGTATCTCGGATAATACCTGTCTGTTCAGGGGACAGAGGGTGCCAGTAGGGCAGATCAATAGCCAGTGCTTCTGTATGTACACAGGCATGGTTCAGTGTACCAGTGATGGTTTTATTAGAGGCTCTGGAGCCGGGAGTGATCGAATAAACCAAGCTGGTGGATTGTTGGGGGCTGGTTCAATCTCTCAAACGTCTGAGTCAAGTCAGCAGCAAGTCAGTGTAAGCTCAGCATTCAAGGACTCAATCTCAACAGATGATCCTAATCGGGAGATCGTCAACATGGAGCCAACTCGTAAAGTTTCAGATAAATCTGGCACAACATCAAAATACTGTGGTGTCTTGTCCGATGGTAGGAAAGTTGGACTTGGAGAAGTTATCACTGATTCTGACGGAAGGACCTGCAAGTGCAGCGAGTCTGGTAACTTTCTAGAGTGTACCTCAGCAAGTGCAATGTGTTATTACAACCAGATAACTTACCAAGTGGGGAGGATTGACGATAAATGCGCGTGTTTAAACACGGGAAACGTTGTCTGCAACAGTGAGATTGGTGGTAGTTCTGACGAGATAAAGATTGATGGTATTAGAAGTGACTCTGGTTCAGATCAAATAAAGACCAATTCGGATCGAATAAAGATCAGCGGTGAATTTCAGTCACCGATCAACACAGGTTCAGTTGTCTCTCAGGCGAACGTCAAGGGTATCAGTGACGGTTCCTGTCGTATAGGAGACATCATGTACCGTAACGGACAATTTATCGGGTACGGACAAGGAACACAAACGTGTGTGTGTAAAGACGGTAGTATATTCTGTGCAGAGGTAGCCGTGGACGGGTGCCCCATGGAGAGCGGAGCAGTGCTAGCGGAGGGACAATCTGTCCAACTCGCTCTGTACACGTGTCTTTGTAAAGCGCAACGCCTGATTTGCTCTATGTCTAGATCCTGCTTCCACCTTGGTGTTGAGCTGGCAAATGGGCAGGTGGTAATGAACAACGGACAGAAGTGTGTCTGTTTGGAGAATAAGATGATGTGCTACCCAGTGGGGTCTTGTTTCCTAGGAGGCAGGGTTCTGACAGAGGGTCAGGTGGAGGTGTCCGTCGCGGGAGAGTATTGCACGTGCACGAACGGTGAGTTATCTTGCGCGGTCACTGAGGTGTTCTGTGAAGTTGGAGATATTAATAGCAATAGAAGGCTGGAGGTTGGGGAGATGATAAAGCTGACTGATAGAGACTGTACGTGTACCAGCACTGGTATCGAGTGCAGTGAAGTAACCTCATACTGCGAGTTCACGGTACCATCAGGGGAAACACATAAGCTGCCTAGAAAATCCCAAAGAATCATCCCAGGACTAGGAAAATGCACGTGCAAAACAGAGGGTTTACAATGTCTGAAGGGGTGTTACCTGGGTGACATTGTGATGAACGAAGGGGAGACAGCAGTGTCAAACGGTAAAATCTGCGACTGCACGTCTAACTCACTGACCTGCCGCGCGGGTTACACGTGCTACATTGAGGGAGACATCAAACTGGTCTCAGGAGAGAACTCAGGAAGGTGTAAGTGTGGGGTGGGAGAGTTGAGTTGTGAGGGTGTGGTGGGATGGGAGGTGCAGGCAGCATGTGTAGCGGATAATATTGTGGTACAGGAGGGGGTGACAGTGCCCTACCGGTGCGGGTATTGCAAGTGTAGTCGAGGTGTACTCGGGTGTTATCATGTGAACTGTTGAGATGATTTGTAAAAAATGGATTTCTGTTTGAATTGTAGTTCTCATTTTAACGTATAGAAGAAACTATTTGTCTGATTCATGTCGGTTTCCTTCATCGAGAACTGATACCTGTTCAGCCTTGTTGACAGAAAATATCTTGAAATTAGATGAGGCTTGGCAAGGTCAATTCAATACAGATTAAAAATATGTCTTTGTGTTTGAATTACCTGGCTCTTTCGGGGAGGTTTCCGGACTACGGTAACGTTAGTAGGGCCGTCCTGTTGCCGTAGTAGAGGCATCATCATGTCTTGAGGGACTCCCCGTAATATTGTGTCATTCACCTGAAGTAGTTTTACTATTACATTCATTGTAGATTAAGCGCTTTTTGCTATTTCTCATCGAATGACTAAATCGCAATAGTAATTTTGCCTATTCCAACCATATCAATTTCACGGATTTGGTAAAATAATTGGGGCTAGAACACTCTCAAGTCTCAATTCAACTGAAGCTGAAATCATAGAAATTGGGGGTATCACCGCCATTTCCACATTTGGGATTTTCCAGTAATCGTGGACACAAATATTTCCGTAAAATGGAGACATTTTCGGGATGAATGGTGATAATTGTTTTCCGCCAAAATTGCAATAGGCAACATTATGAATTTCATATCGAGATAGTGAATGAGGCGGAAAAAAAGTCGCCAATTACGTATAGGGCAAATTAATTAGTCTGATTAACACCAATTTGATATATTGGCAAAAATCTACCCAGGCTAAACCTGCCGAACGAATATAAAACCACGCCAACCATCAAAACAAGGGCATAAAATGGAGTGACAAAGTAAATTTACTCAATCACATAATACACAGAATTTAGTTTAACATCCTCGCTTCCTTAGCTCAGACTCAGATCGAATTTCACGTCCGATCATTACAAATATTTACCATGCCACACAAATTTCAGATCCTGACTTATCATGGTTACCAGCTAGCAAGGTGTGTACGGTCCAGAGAAAAGTCAGCGTATAATAATATGATAATCAATTATGATTCATCATTGTCATTCATTGATCTGTTATCTGAATAGCAGATTGTGTTTCACTAGGTGTCTTACACCGGGATCTACAGGGAACTTGAACCGATTCAGATTGGTACCACGATTTATCACAATCTTACTATATATAAAGCGAGACGATATATATATGTGTATATATCCGTGCCATTTTACTGACACCACGGCATCAACTTTAACGCGACTTTCCGCAAAAACCGTAAAACATATACAACTGAAACTTTTTTGACTGGGTCAAATGCTTTAATGGCCTTCAAATCAGCATGAAAAAATAAAAAATTGGCCAAGGAATAATAATTTTAGTGCCCAAAATTTGGACTCTCAAGTGGTGTCAAAAACGCGAATTAAATAGGTAATAATTATTTTAGTCTCTCGAGTCTTGACACCACTTTAGGGTTAGACGGGTTCCTGCTAGTATGACCTAAACCATGCTGAGGTTATCAAAGTTTACCTCGAATCGTAATCGGGAAATCAAACAACACTTGTAAGATTGAGATGAATAATGAGATCGAAACAAATATGCTGGCAGGATATACTACTGGGGGTCAACTGCAGTTTGTACTCCTTTCTGAGGATATTGAATTTCAAAGTAATTACATGAAGGTAGCCAGATGATGCGGGCAATCAACGGTAAACAACCACCCAATCAGTGATCAGTCCGCTGTCAAACTGACCAATCACATTCCACCTCACCAAACCACGTGACGTGCGCCAGCCAATGAGAACGATTAGTTCATGTCACGTGATTATATTCATTATTGAACACCTGGGATTAGAGGGCTCAAATAGCTGTGGAGAGTGTCCATCCCGCTCCAGTGAATCTACCAGGAGGGAATGGTGAACCACGTTTACAGGCCACTATTATTTAGATGGGTTTTGTTTAGCGGGCGCTATTAGCATTATCGAGATGAAAATGGAAAACGGGACGAAAATGCGAAATAAGATACCCGACTAAGAGTAAGCTACTGTTAAACTAGGCTCCGCGAAAATAAAACACAGAATGTTCGAGATCTGTGACCTAAAGAGAATGATGAGAAGACAGTAAATGAAATAGAAGGACATGAAATGGAGAGGATAGAGCATTATCGGCGAGTGGTTACCATGGTAACCAGGAATTTCTAATGGCATCACGCCAGACAGGTTAATCTCATCACACATAACTTAGATTTTTCAGGGTACATTCTGCCTGGGCTTCATCACTCGGCAGTGAAATTCATCGCAATCAATTATCTTCCTAATGGATCTCATTTCAGAAGTCAGCCAATTTCATCACTTCAGTGTGTCGGTTCGTAAAGTGTTTAACACAGAATTAAAAATAAATCAGTGAAAAGCGTCACCAGAGAATGGTCACTCCCTTCATCATGTGACGTCTCTACTATCCATATCAAGATGTATTCAAACACCCTTCCGATAATCAATACATCAATCAGTGACCATTCTGCATCAGTTATCAGTATGCTAATTTGTATCAGTACGTTAATAATGTGTAGATGAAATGCAAATGTTGGTTGAGATAAGCATGAGCGTGCACTCTCGTAAGCTTGTTAGATCGTCATGGTGCAACAAATCATTCTTACTTGCTTGCCAGTTTTCAATGGTCTGCTTGCAAGTGCTCTCTCGTTACACCGCTTGGACAATCGCTTTTTATTGAAATATCGACCGATTTGTATGTATTGCTGCATAAAGCTAATGATAATATCATTAAAGTAAACCCTAAGTTACAGCCTTTCTTGATTGAATACACTATTCGTGCATCGTTAAAATATGCAACCCTTACGAATGGCTCCCGCTGTTTTAAACTATCTAAAAGCTCCTTGTCTGTTGTCATTTCAATTGTAGCAGAAAAATAGACGGAAAAAAATTTTGAAGAAATAATCATGAAGTTGCTAGGCAATTTTTTTCTTCCTTACTTTCAAGATTGACTCATGATAATTGATAAGGTTATAATTTCACCCACAGAGGTCTATGTCGATAATCGCCCCCTCTCGCGAGGGCACCATGGCCAGCAGACTAACAATCCAGGCAGTGGACTTGGGAGCAGAAGATGAGGATGACAATCCTCTGTCCGTAGCCATTGAGATGGGCAACCTCAGGATCGTAGAAAGATGTTTGAAAGATGGTTGGCCACTTCACCTCGAAAACAAGATGGGGTACAACCCCCTTCAGCAGGCTGCCAGTGACGGAAACATGGAAATAGTTAGTTTCCTGGTGCGACGAGGAGCGGACCCCAACGCTCAGAACAAGTGGGGGTTGAACGCTCTGCACCGCGCGGCACATAACGGCTTCTCTGACGTTGTCATGTTTCTTTTAGAGAACAACGGAGACGTGACCTCTGTAAATGACGGAGGAAACTCAGCCCTTCACTGGGCTGGCTACTTTGGACATTATCAAGTGTGCACCATGTTGCTGACTGAGGGAGCTGACCCACTGCTGAAAAACAAGAAAGGGATCACGCCTCTGGAACACGCTAAGAGCAGAAAGAAGTTGAAGTGTGAACGAATTCTGAGGAGCTATGCTGAGGGAAAGATGAAGCCACGGAAGAAAATCAGTAAGAAACCGAAGAAGTCAAAAGCAATGAAACCTCTCACTGACGCAGATCTAGCAATCCCAGCTCCTGAAGAACCCGCTCAAGAAGGGAAGCCTCTTCCAACCCCAATGACATACTCTGAACCTACGTACACTGAGGTTATCGATCTGACAGTACAAGCTTCAGGAGAATTCCCAGAAGTAGCTGTAGAAGGGACATGTGAAGCCGGAGTAGGAGACGGAGACGTGCAAGAAGAGGAAGTAGTGATGACAGACGAAACCAAAATCACTGTCACGGAAGGGACCCCAGAAGTGACAAAGGATGCAGGAGGACAAACAGAGGACGGAGCAACTATTGTAGTGGCTCCATTCGAACAAACTGAAGAAGAACAAACATACAAGAAACTGGACATCGGAGATATAGGAGAGAAACCCGACCCATTGGACATGGAGGAGCTAGCAGAGGAGCCCTCTCAGACGCTACTACCACTTCGACTAAAGAAGCAGCCCCACCATTTCAACAACACCCCAAGGCTCACCCCTCGGATGAAGATGTTCACCCCAATGAAAGGTGGAACTCCAGCAGATCTGTCCAGAGCCGGAAGCGGAATGAGTATTGCCAGTGTTGCCAGTGACAGAACCGTTGCCTACAGAAACGTGGACCACAAGGGAGACAAACTGTACTCCAAACATGAGATCACCAAGCAGTACAAGGGAGATTATCAGACTATGGTCCTGGAGCTCACTGCTCTCAAGGCTGAGAACATGCAGCTCGTCAAAGAGGGAGAGGTTTTGGCGAATGAAATTCAGAGGTGGGTTTACTAAGCGGAATAAGTTGATGACTATGCGATTAAACGTAAATTGTATCATTTCAGATTTAATATCTTTAATGCTTTCGTTTGTAAGTGATGTCAATTTTCTTTCAGGTTGAACATTCAGTGGAAGACAGTTCGTCACGAGAACGAAACAGTAAAGTACACAGTTAAGGAAGTCATGAAAGAGAACGAAGACCTCAAGGAATCAATGTCTACCATGACTCTCAAAATGAACAAAATGAACGTCGACATCGACCGATTACTTGCGGATAACACTCGACTCTCAAAAGAAAACAAGAAACTAAACCAGGACCTGATGAAGGAATTGCATTTCTACAAAGCAAAACATCTTGAGGAGAAGCAGCGGGCAGAGAGCCTGGCCATATCTCTCACAGAACAAAAGAGAATAGCCATAGACCTAGAAGAACAGCTTTCGCTGCCACCAGAGCAAAGGCAAAAGATAAAGGAAGACTGCAAGTACAAGGATACGGTACTGGATTTCATCTCCTCACTGAACATCCCGGATTCCTTTAAAGTCCCCAAGTTCACCAAATGTTTCTGCACGGACTGTTGTCCAGATCCACATCTTGAATACAGGGGTCAGCCTCTCACCATGTACGCAGTACCTCAAAACTACGTCAGGTTTGTGCCCACTTAATTCTTTCACAATACTTACTCACGAAGTTGGAACTTAATCCTTCGGTTAACTCGACTAGGAATATTTTCGTTATGATCACAAACTACTACTTAGATGCATGCTATTTAGAATGTAGATACAAAGGTATAGTTCCCGGACTATAATTAAGTTATGCCATTTCAGGTTTGGAGTAGCAACAGATCCGCGAGTGATCGAGCACAACGCAGTGTTCGACAAGTACCACGTGTCCTTCTGCCCAGTCCACCCGGCCACAATCAGGGACAGCATATCTGGCGGAATACTCCTCCCCGGTTCTACAACTCCGGACGGCGAAAAAATCCCTCTCACTCCCTTCAACGAGGGTAGATTCTCCATCGTGCCGGACGACCCCAAACCGCACAAAAACCCGCACAGCAACCACTTCCGAGCGGAGTTCAGACATCCTGAGAAGTGCATGTGCGGTTCCTGCCAGGACTTCCTACCAACTAACTTCTTCTTCACCTCACCGACTATCAAGTACATTGAGCACCCCAACTACAGGCCCTACTGGGTCAAGTACCAGGGAAAAATGGTGCGATGTGCGTTCCAGGTACGACAGAAACAAGACGCTTACAACATCTTGTGGAGGACGACTGACAAGATGATCTGCTCCTCCAAGCTCATAGACCCCTTCTTTAGGAACGATGAGCTGGAGTACTTCTCAGCAGATGCCAGAAACTTTGTTATAACAGGGCTTTGTGTCAGCATCACGGACCTGCCTAAAGCTACACCAGCGAAAGCCCTACCTCCAGCAGGAGAACCTGCTTCAGAGGAGAAGGAGGAGGAATAATTTGGTGAAGTCATCTGGACAGACATACTGTCTAAACTGCTAGACGGATCTAGAAGGATCCAATAGTAGATTGCGACATGACTGTCGTGATAATTGAGTAGCAAAAGACGTGGAGAAAGGATTGTTAGAAAGACTTGAAAACGATTCAGATTAGTGTGTCGTCAAGCTTAAATTTATGATTGTTTATAAGTTTATATTTATGGAATCGTATCTTGTTTATAAGAAAATGATTCAAACCAAAAATGAAATGTATTATTTAATTCTTGAGCACATTATGTAGCAACAGACTTGTTTCAATGCCTTTAAAGAACTTAAATCGCATGGAAATAATTAAATTCTTTAACATTTGCATGATAAGATTTGAATAGATATTATGTATAATTCTCCTGTACTCTCCGATAAAATAAAACCACATCACATTTTAAACTTGGACGCAGTTATATCTGGACAATACATCTTGAAAAGTCGATCTGTATACGTTAGGAATTATTACTGAGTCACTGAGTTCTCTATTTATCTTTACGGCCCTAATGTGGTTCCTGTGGCCATACTTACTATTCGCTTGAATCTCAAAAATGGCGAGCTGGAGTCCAGTCTTACTGGTTCTAATCGGACGTATCAGAGCTACTTCAGCTATTGAGTACTTAGAGCTGGAGAGTTATTAACCACCCAAGTTATATATTAGAGTCTATTACCCATAAGATACTGGATCTACTCTCAATAAATGGTAGACAATCCAATCGAGCCTGTTAAGTTTACTTTACCACGTCCAGTATTATAATAGAATAGTAATTCACCTTGAATATGATGTCTCCAGGCTTGAGACCAATAACATCTGCCACACTGTTTTCCTCAATATGAGTTACAACGAGACCTTGTTCACATGAACCAAGCTTCATACCCAACGCCTCTGAAATAACAACTTTTAATTGTATAACCTTTAAAAAATATAAGCCCAAGACGTCTGGAGTCTGTTCAATTGATCTATTTAAAATTCGTATATCACTGATTATATTTCTAGCGTAATCTCCGAAGTTCTGACGACAACCGTTTTGTAACCAACCTCTGGTTCTCGGCAAACATAGTTGCAGCAGATTCTCTGGCTCGATATTTTCTCTGCTTCCATTAATGGAACCTAAACAGTGAACAAGATATTACAAATTTGAAATTTGAACTTCAGGAACATAATAGCAGAAAACTTGATAACTATCCAATGTCTGTCACTTTATATTTAATACTTAGTGAAGTATGATCTTAAAAAGAGACTATTGTACACATTCTCACAATACTCTACAATTAAAGACGTCAGAAGAGTCGGCACTTATCCTCAGTCTAGTTAGCGCAATCTTTATTTCTGCGTTTTATAATTTAGATTAAATTTAACACTTAACAAGTCTAGTTAGTGCAATATTTATTTCTGCGTTTTATAATTTAGAGTAAAGTTAACATTTAACGAGTCTAGTAAGCGCAATCCTTATTTCTGCGTTTTATAATTTAGATTAAAGTTAACATTTAACAAGACGTACCCTGACCAGAAGGAGTCTGCAATGTTAAAGTAAGGGGTGACGTGGCGGATTTTAGGACATCAACAGCCTCGGCGTGGGTCAGACCTATCATCGAGATATCGTTCACCTAGGAAGTGCAAGAGGTCACGAATCACCAATAAGATTATAGGTTTAGTTCATTCGTGATCTCTTTTTTTTTGTTTAAGTAAACTTGTCAACACTGTGGAACGGTCAACAGGGTTATGAACCCTCGATCTAAGTAACTAGATCGTGTCAGCCTCAGCTTTTCTCTGCTGTTCCTTTTCTGCCATTTTTAGAGACAGAATTTGGATTATTGTCTGCGAGGCCAGTAATTTAGGAGAAAAATGCGAGAATCTAATTATTAGTAGCAGCCAGTCTGGTCAGTATGAGTTGCAGAAAAACAAGTTTTACTTGCAGAAAAACAAGTTTTACCGGAAAATCAAGGTTAGGTCCGATGTGAACTTAATCACATATATTTAGTTAGGGCAAGAATTGCTGTTTATGGGTCAATCTGTGAACAAATTCGTAACAAAGGTTTGTCTACAGGAATGTGTTGTCCATAGTCCCAGGAACCACAAAAAAAAACCGTCCAGCTGAAACTTTTGGGCAAAAATTTTTATAGTCATTTTTCTCCAGGAACCCATACGCCCCACCCCTAATATTGGTTATTCGGCTCCCGAAGGTCTTGAGATCTCCATAGGGGGTGCAAAATGACCGCAATGGCCACACTATGGCAGGCGAATGATAGTTTCAGAACGATTGGGGCTTTATTTTTCGAAATAAATGGAATTTTTCGAAATTTTTCTCAATTTTATTGAAATTTCGAAAAAAAATGCACCAAATTATTTTTAACGCTTATTTCAAATCTATTTAAAAAATCATCTACAAATAACAAATACAGTTAATCTAAAATGTGTATTCTCTGTAAATACCATGACAATTATTAATACACAGTTAATATTAATAAAAATTCGCTTGTTCTTCAGGTTCATCATGTCAAATGTTTGTGCAGTTCATACCATGGCATCGTCCACAAGCTGGCAAACAATTGAAGCCATATTTCCTACATGAACATCTGAAAGTCAAACAGGCCTGTTCCACATCGACAGAACAGTTACAACATACTAGCAGGAACCCGTCTTACTATAAAGTGGTGTCAAGACTCAAGAGACTAAAATAATTATTACCTATTTAATTCGCGTTTTTGACACCACTTGGGGGTCCAAATTTTGGGCACTAAAATTCTTATTCCTTGGCCAATTTTTTATTTTTTCATACTGATTTGAAGGCCATTAAAGCATTTGACCCAGTCAAAAAAGTTTCAGTTGTATATCTTTTACGGTTTTTGAGGAAAGTCCCGTTAAAGTTGATGCCGTGGTGTCAGTAAAATGGCATGGAACCATATATATCGTCTCGCTTTATATATAGTAAGATAAGGTTCAAAATAGACTCTGGAGCAATTATAGCTTTTGTTGCAAATGGTTCGTAAGTGCCACCAGGAGCCAATTTCCAGCCGTAGTCAAGGGGATTCAGACTGTCAGCGTTAAGCATGACCCAGTTATGGTACTGTAAGTAAGCTCTAAGGATGTGCTCCGTTGCTGAAGCTATTGTTGGAGGTAGCCTATTCGGATTGAGACTCTTTTTCGCTACCATCCTATTGTATGCTAGGAATCTCAAAGCAGAAAGAGTCTTTTTCTTGTCACCATAAATGTACTGCAAGAAACAGAGGCGAGGCCTGCCTCAATAATCTTTACTTTTGATTCTCTCACCGAAAGTAATGTTGCCAACTGACCTTGCTCATCAAAGGTGAGAGCTTTCTTTAGCACTTTAACCTTGCTAAAGCCAAACAGTCCACTGACGCTATCACAACCTGAAATACTATGAATTAGAAGAAGTATCTCCTTTTCTTTATGATCTAGATGACTTGATATTTCTTTGATTGAATATGTACCCTTCTTCGTTGTTAGATAAATATCATTGTGATGGTCACTGTTGAAATGATGTACTAATAGACTTGAACTATATCGGTATCCTCTGCCTTCAATTCAACATCGCCAAGGAATGACATTTCCAATGTTTTCTTTGCAATTAAAGTATCAGCATCGTTAGAAGCTCTGATCACTTCAATACCATTTACAGTAAAAATGCTTGAGATAAGGTCGATCAGTTTTTTTTGTTATTGTTGTTGCTCAGAAATGTTCTTTTGGTGACAGTACAAAAGGTGGATTTCTTTACAGCAATATTAGCACAGAACGCTTTTACTCTCCTCTTGTGCTCGTGCTCGTGATCTTTAGTAGAAGGCTCATATCCATCAAAAATCACAGTAACTTCCCGATTTTTAGGGATTCCCAGGCTGTGATATAAGACCAGTCGAAAAAGATATTAACTTAGTCTTATCTTCGGATTCTGTTAAGTCGACAGTAACTTTAAACCAAGTTAATAATTTTCCAAATACATCACAGTTTTTCTTGATTGATGACTTGGTAAGATCTGAGTGGATGGCAGCTTTAGTTGGTACTCCTCGCTTCGATGAATTAGCTAATGAATCTCCAAAAGACTGATTTATTTAAGCCATCTGATTCAGGGTGGCCACCCATAACTTGTGAGCGGACTCACGATTACGCATCCTTCCACTTGTTAATCCACCACTAGATTTAGCTGCCCTCATTAGACTCTGCTCTATGGAGAGGTCAGTCCACACCCCAGCCCACTCGTGGTCGTTGTAACAAACCGTGTGAAGCCCTGTTACTTTAAAGGTCTTTAAAAGCGCCCCATACTTGACTTTAAAAATAGCATCCTGCTCCAAATACAGTCTTAAAGCTTTTGCATACTGTCCCCTCCCAGCTGCTGCGAAGTAGGGCAGCATCAAAGCTACTGCTGATAAATTCATTATATTGTAGTCGTGCAACCTCTCTGCTCTTATGAAGTCCTTTACTAGTGTTATCATGTTGTGGTAAGTAACCCATAGAGCTGCTGTTCTACTGTTGGAAAACAGGTTCTTTAGAAGCAGAGTTATTTTCTCTGATAGATCCTGAATAGATTTAGTCTTAAAGTTAACACTTAGATTTTCGTTCACACATTTGTTGATGTAACCTTCCAAGTCTACTAGTTCATCGTCGTAAACTTCTTCCTCTATAATGAAACAACAAAGAGCGGCGTTGATCAGAAAGTGGGCTGTCAACGCTTTATAGTAAGATCCTCCATCCGATATATGCGTGACGTCTCCAGGATACACAAGTTTGATGAGCTCCTCTAAACCCGAGTCTGCCATTATATAGCCTATGCAGCCAAGAAAACTCGTGAGAGTGTGGAAGCCCCCAACCCTGACCACAATAGGCATCCCAGTTTCCAGTACTATTCGGGTGGCCTTAATCCACAATGGCAAATCGAATGTGATTATCATCGGCTCACTGTAGGATAACTTAAGACATTCAACCAGAGTAGTATGTACCGTCGAATAGCTGTCTGGGGGTTGGTCAATAATCTGTTGTGTGTTAGTTAACCTTGATATTTGTTAATTGAAGTTATTTCCCGAGTAAGATTTGAAATAAGCGTTAAAAATAATTTGGTGTATTTTTTTCGAAATTTCAATAAAATTGAGAAAAATTTCGAAAAATTCCATTTATTTCGAAAAATAAAGCCCCAATCGTTCTGAAACTATCATTCGCCTGCCATAATGTTGCCATTGCGGTCATTTTGCACCCCCTATAGAGATCTCAAGACCTTCGGGAGCCAAATAACCAATATTAGGGGTGGGGCGTATGGGTTCCTGAAGAAAAATGACTATAAAAATTTTTGCCCAAAAGTTTCAGCTGGACGGTTTTTTTTGGTGGTTCCTGGGACTATGGACAACACATTCCTGTAGACAAACCTTTGTTACGAATTTGTTCACAGAAAAATCAACTCTTGCCCTAACTATATTGACTATAATTTAGTTGAAGAAACCGATAAGAATTCTTCGAAATCAGGTTCTTAAAAACATTAAGACAAATCAGATTATTGGAGACAACATTAAATTCAGATTATATGTCGACATCAATTTATCTTGATTCATCACTTTTCGAATCAATTATTGAAGCAAGTATATTATAGTATAATAAACAAACCTTGATGATATTTTCTCCTTTCTTCAACGGCGAGTTGATATCAACAATCTTCTTGATGTATATGTTACTTGCAGGATTGTCGATTGTAGCCCCTCCCGCAATCGTTATCCCAATACCGGTCTGCAGAAATATATTATCATACTCAAAAACACACAGAAAACACACTAGTACAGTCAAATACGTCTTTTTGTCGGACAAAATTCGCAACAAAGCGATTTTAACGGGATATGGTCGGGACAGGTCCCAGGAATCATTCCAGAGAGTTCCCAAAAAAAAAGACTTCAGGAAAATCCACAATTACCACTTTTCTACCACCTTTTTACCACTTTGGTATTCCGCAAATAAGTCACGTTCTGAATAACCTAGAAGATTCTAGTTTAAAGCAGTGTGTTTAGAAAACAAAGAAGAACAACTTTCTCTTTAACAACTTTTTCAAAAATAAATTATTTAATTAATTAATTAAATAATTAAAAAATTTTCAAATATTTCAAAAATATATTTTGTTAAAATGTTCACAATTACATTCCACGTATAATGAACTAATTTTTATAAAACTTTTGAAAATTTTCACTTTCAATATTTTGGACTTGTAAAATTTTCGAAATTTGTAAAGAATAACCACTATTTACCACTTTTTACCACATTGAATCTCCGCTAATAAAACGACTTCTGAATGTCGTAGAATGTTCTAGATTGAACCAGTGTGTTCAAAACATAAAAGAGAACAACTTTTTATCTGATAACCTTTGGATTAAATAATTAATTAATTAGTTAATCGATTATTAAACAAATATTCAAAAATTATAATAATTATTTTCGATCAAAATATTTTAAAATTACATAACACGAATAATTGACAACTTTTCATTAAACTAATAGGAAAATCGAAGCAGTACTTTATATAACCATATATACTAGATAAGAGTCTTACTTATGAGTCCTCAGCTGGCACATTGGTGCAATTGTGCTGACATTTGAGGCAGGTTGATCCACAATGTATTCCTGCTTTTCTGCATGAACAAGCATTGCCACAACCTGACTTTAAACAGTTGCAACTGATGTTTAATTTTGAATGAGCTTTTTCGGAGCTGTACTCATAAGAGTGGTCACTGGAACATGCGCCCCATTGTTCATCTTCCATCCCCATTCCCCAGCTTATCGGATCTATAAGGTCATTCTCATCCCACGCCTGCAGCTGATGGTAAACAAGATAAGAATGTTGTTCAGCTGTCCCCTGTATAAGTAATGTTTGAAATCGGTATTATAGCAGCAACGTGGTCGTTAAATAACACTTAGAAATCAAAATATCCTCCAAGTTACGTTTAGGGGGAGTGCCATGAGTCAATACACATACGTTGAGTCTTATAATCAACATGTACTCGTGTTTGCGAACATGCTGTAAACTGCACTATAACATATTGCAATAGGCCATTACATTCGGAATATGATCTGAAAAGATGGCGCGAAACGGATTGAAAATGACGAAGTTATCAAGCAATTTGTTTATCTCGTTAGCGAAACTGATTGGGTTATCAATGATTACCCAATCGGTAATCACGTGACAGGGTGTCAGGATACCGTAATTGGGCTTTCTGCACGATTTCTGTGCCACTCATTCACTGGATCAGACACCACCAGTCGGATCCACGGAGTTGGTAAGGATCGGCTATTCAGAACGATTCCGATAGTGGGAATCTAGTGCACTAAGCTACGGAGAAAGTCACGTCGGAGAAATTTTTGGGCGAGCGAATTAGTAAGAGCCTAACGTATGTGTACTATACCACCTCCCCCCTCCCCCACACAATAACTTACCCTGTCTGTAATCCGATTTGAGGATTTATCATTTGGTGCGATCTCTACGTTACAGAATGGACATTTGTTTAAACTGTGTTCGTGAACTAAAGATGGTTCTGCCTCAGTTACAACGGACTCATCTTCATTGGCCGAAATGAATCTTTGGAACTGGTCTATGATCACTGTCTGCAATAACACACAATAGACGTCACTCTGAGCAGAATCAGTCAGGCCGTTGTACTACCGTTTAATTTCGTTCAGTGACCAGGGGTTGTTGATCCAACCTGTGTTACGATGGTTTGTTTATTTATACAGAGTATGAGAGGCCTCAGGATAATGAATAGGACTGTAACCATCCGTTTCAAACTTTCTGGGCATAGTTTAAAAGTTAGTGTACTTACTTAAAATATAAATAGTTAAAATAGTACCTGGGGACACTGGACAGCGACCCTTTCCAGATTTCATTCCATACAAATTTACTTTGTCGATCATTCGCCCTCTTAAAGCTATTCACCGGAATTAACTCCTCATTTGCCTGGTAAATTAAAACATAGTATTGGTTAAGAATAGTTGCGCTCTCGAGTCTCGGTTGACATAAAACTGAAAAGTAAAACGGTAAAAACATATTACTGTTATTGTATATTAGTTGACAGCTACTTACATAGAATCTGCACGCGTACAGTATCAGGCACACGATGTGTTCTTCTGTTTTCAAAATGTCAACTATTTGGTGTGATTTCAGTCCTCAATTTTTAGCAGATTTAACTTTTTTACGAAGAGAAGTCAACATAAAGTAAAAGCTGAAGCTTACACTTCCAAACGATAAACTGACAATCAGAGATAAGATCTCTAGTTAGCGATTGAAAAATTGCTAAGTCTTGTTTAAACAACCATTTTAACAATCTAGTTAAGCACAATACTAAGTCGAGAGATATGATGTGTTAATATTTAATAGTTATTAGCTATAATAGTATCGTACAAATTTGGATATTTTACCGTTTATTCCATTTATCTGGATCTCTTTTTATCTGTTATCTAATCTATGTGACGATGTATGTTCTGTTATTCAAGTAAATTCATTTTACGTTTCACGTCACGGCAAATATTTTTGATAAAAATTATATTTTGAAATTTTTAAAAATTTAATTAATATTTAATTAATTAATCAATTGATTATCTTATCCAAAGGTTATCAGATAAAAAGATGTTCTCTTTTATGTTTTGAACACATTGGTTTAATCTAGAACCTTCTACAAGATTCAGAAGTTGTTTTATTAGCGGAGATTCAATGTGGTAAAAAGTGGTAAATAGTAGTTATTCTTTACAAATTTCGAAAATTTTACAAGTCCAAAATATTGAAAGTGAAAATTTTCAAAAGTTTTATAAAAATTAGTTCATTATACGTGGAATGTAATTGTGAACATTTTAACAAAATATATTTTTGAAATATTTGAAAATTTTTTAATTATTTAATTAATTAATTAAATAATTTATTTTTGAAAAAGTTGTTAAAGAGAAAGTTGTTCTTCTTTGTTTTCTAAACACACTGCTTTAAACTAGAATCTTCTAGGTTATTCAGAACGTGACTTATTTGCGGAATACCAAAGTGGTAAAAAGGTGGTAGAAAAGTGGTAATTGTGGATTTTCCTGAAGTCTTTTTTTTTGGGAACTCTCTGGAATGATTCCTGGGACCTGTCCCGACCATATCCCGTTAAAATCGCTTTGTTGCGAATTTTGTCCGACAAAGGCTCAAATTAAGACGGATTTGACTGTACTACACATTCTGAGATTATTGTTTAAGATACACGAGCATCATTGCTACAAATATTGATTGAAAGACCCGAAGGCCACCCATAGGGGCTTTTGAGCAGTATAGACCATTTATTTTAATTAATCTCCGAAGGGTTTTGATGAAATGTTCGAACTATTTTTCCATTCATTCCTTTGATCATTTACAAAGCGCGGTATTGCCATTGGACATACCTCGACGAGGAAAATGAAATAGTTATTTGATATCTTGTGATAGCGTAATCCTATTTTCCTGTCGGAAAACCTGATTTACTGGTAGATATCAAGGAATTTCTGGTCATTAGGTGAATCAGGACCAACTACTGGAAGAGTTCTGGTTTGTACAATCCCGTAAAATCTCGCAATCTCACAATCTCAAAATCTCTCTAGCTTAGTAGTGATGAACTTAAAACGTAAGGAATCGTTAGGCCTTTAAAAAAATTTAACGGCCAAATTCCAAAATTTGCACTGCTAAATTTAGAATTTGGCCGCCAAATTTCATTTTCCTCGTCGAGGTATGTCCAATGGCAATACCGCGCTTTGTAAATGATCAAAGGAATGAATGGAAAAATAGTTCGAACATTTCATCAAAACCCTTCGGAGATTAATTAAAATAAATGGTCTATACTGCTCAAAAGCCCCTATGGGTGGCCTTCGGGTCTTTCAATCAATATTTGTAGCAATGATGCTCGTGTATCTTAAACAATAATCTCAGAATGTGTAGTACAGTCAAATCCGTCTTAATTTGAGCCTTGTTGCGAATTTTGTCCGACAAAGGCTCAAATTAAGACGGATTTGACTGTACTACACATTCTGAGATTATTGTTTAAGATACACGAGCATCATTGCTACAAATATTGATTGAAAGACCCGAAGGCCACCCATAGGGGCTTTTGAGCAGTATAGACCATTTATTTTAATTAATCTCCGAAGGGTTTTGATGAAATGTTCGAACTATTTTTCCATTCATTCCTTTGATCATTTACAAAGCGCGGTATTGCCATTGGACATACCTCGACGAGGAAAATGAAATAGTTATTTGATATCTTGTGATAGCGTAATCCTATTTTCCTGTCGGAAAACCTGATTTACTGGTCAAGGAATTTCTGGTCATTAGGTGAATCAGGACCAACTACTGGAAGAGTTCTGGTTTGTACAATCCCGTAAAATCTCGCAATCTCACAATCTCAAAATCTCTCTAGCTTAGTAGTGATGAACTTAAAACGTAAGGAATCGTTCACATAATATCAAGTAAGCTATATTTCAGCCATTTTAGCATTTTACACATGAACGTGCTTTTCTAAACACTACCTATACACTGTCTACTAGGCAGTAGACAGTCACGACCTTTGAACGCCTCTCATCTTTGCGGCTTCCTGGTCATCGTAATATCTTAATAAGTTTGTCTTCGTAATATTATAATATTTCTCGTTTGCAAACTTTCTTTCCGTTTATCTTTCACTGAGTGTCATTGCCACAGGACATACCATGTCACGTACATCAGGAGTAAGTATAGTTTAGGTTTAACAGCTTACAATTCAAACGAATTCTTAACCTTAAGGGGGAGGGTTTACCCTGATTTTTTTGTGAAACTTGGTTTCGAGATAGCAGTTGACCAACAAACTAGGACCAGTGACCGAACTTTTGAGGGGGTCCCGGACCCCAACCGCCAAACGGTGCCCGCGGGGCAGCCACGCCCATATTTGGTCCAAATTAGGCCCAATTTAGCCAAATACCCTTAACATGCCCAAAATCCAGATTTTAGGTGCTCTACTTGTAGCTAGTGGTTCCCTGAACTCGTATATGAATTTTCATCAAGATTGGACAAAAAATGACTGAGTTATGAACAAAAAACCATATGACCATATTTGGGCATACGCACCAAATTTGATCGATTTTGGCCCATAAATTGGTCAAATATCAATATTTTTGAATGAAACTAACTTTATATGGAAGGTAAGCCTATACTACACATTATCTATGATTATCAGCTCTGTATCTACCTAACTGTGGATTCTGTGTTCAAATAATCGCAAAAAAAGAACAAAATTGCCCATATCTCAGTTCGCGATATTTGCAAAACTGACTTCGCTCAAAACAATAGAACTCAATAATAGGGTTTCAATATTTTGTCATGAAATTTTCAGAATCAACGTAGAATTGTCTCATGACCTTAAGTTTTGGGACAGAATTTTGAGTTAGGCCTTTAAAAAAATTTGGCGGCCAAATTCTAAATTTAGCAGTGCAAATTTTGGAATTTGGCCGTTAAATTTTTTTAAAGGCCTAACTCAAAATTCTGTCCCAAAACTTAAGGTCATGAGACAATTCTACGTTGATTCTGAAAATTTCATGAAAAAATATTGAAACCCTATTGAGTTCTATTGTTTTGAGCGAAGTCAGTTTTGCAAATATCGCGAACTGAGATATGGGCAATTTTGTTCATTTTTTGCGATTATTTGAACACAGAATCCACAGTTAGGTAGATACAGAGCTGATAATCATAGATAATGTGTAGTATAGGCTTACCTTCCATATAAAGTTAGTTTCATTCAAAAATATTGATATTTGACCAATTTATGGGCAAAAATCGATCAAATTTGGTGCGTATGCCCAAATATGGTCATATGGTTTTTTGCTCATAACTCAGTCATTTTTTGTACAATCTTGATGAAAATTCATATACGAGTTCAAGGAACCACTAGCTACAAGTAGAGCACCTAAAATCTGGATTTTGGGCATGTTAAGGGTATTTGGCTAAATTGGGCCTAATTTGGACCAAATATGGGCGTGGCTGCCCCGCGGGCACCGTTTGGCGGTTGGGGTCCGGGACCCCCTCAAAAGTTCGGTCACTGGTCCTAGTTTGTTGGTCAACTGCTATCTCGAAACCAAGTTTCACAAAAAAATCAGGGTGAACCCCCCCCCCCTTAATCATAAAACAAATTTGTAAAATAAATACGCTCTAGGGGCACTGTTAACGCAATATTCTAACATCTAGTCTAACATATTTTCCGTTGTACTGAAACCGAGCAACCCCAACTAATATCAACACATCTCCACATCTTCAGGGACTTATAGAGAGACTGAACCAAGGACCGGTGATCGGAGACGGAGGATTTATCTCAGAGCTTGAGAGACGTGGTTACTGTGAGGCTGGACCTTGGACTCCTGAGGCTGTCATCGAGAATCCGGACGTGAGTACTAAACCATTGTATTGTTTCCGTTTTTCAATTGAATAAATACGCTTAATTAAGCCTTACAAAACTCATCGACTAAAACTGAAAAACAATTAAATCAAGCAGATCAAAATAGCGACTTATTTTCACACCAAGTAATGTTTGCCAGGCAGTTAGGCAGCTCCACAAGGAGTTCATCAGGGCCGGCTCCGATGTCTGTCAAGCGTTCACTTACTACGCCAGTGAAGACAAGCTCAGTCACAGAGGCAACAAGGCAGGAGTGTATGGGGTAAGGAACGTTTTCTGTAAAATGTGGCATTTACTTCTTTTTCTGATCCGCCTAATCTACTAATCCCGTACTAAATTTAAATCTCAAAATATTCCAGATCTGCATGTAAATTTCCAACTTGAACTGGTCCTCAAACAAAATATATGATCATCTCCCAACAGTGTAAAGCAATCAACGATGCAGCCTGTAAAATAGTGGCAGAGGTAGCAAAACCAGCAGGATGCCTTATAGCAGGGGGACTATCTCAAACACCTACTTACTTGGAAGGTAGGTTGTAGGAACTGGCCGGTCGGTTCCTAGTAGGTTGGATACCGTCGTACCACGGCCCGATTAATTCTCATCGTTTAACTTGAAGTCAATACAACAAACTCTGTATTTCCTGGTTTCTTCAAATCATCTTGAGTCCACCGGTAGTCAGGTGCAGCTCACCAACATGACAGATTAAATAGAGTGCTTGATAGAGTGCTTATCTTAAGTTAAATGTTGATGTAGTTTTATGATGTAGTTTTACGAAGATTTCGTTGTGTGTTTCCCTTCGTGTCCAAAAGCATTATATGAATTTCAATCTATTAACCAGATTCACGTCACAAATACAGAGTTACCTTGTTTTGTAACGTTGTACCACTAGGAGGGGAGAACAGTAAAGCAAGAGTAAAGGAGGTGGTTAGAGCACAGCTGGATGTGTTCAAGGAAAATGAAGTTGATCTCATGATACTAGAGGTAAGATGTTTCATATTTCTTGTCAAAACAGCTACATGACTTACCTTCCAATATAGTGACCGCAAAACTACCAGCAAAATGTAACATGTAACAAAACATTGGTAATCTAGCTAGGCACACATGGGGCACAAAATTGAAATTCCTGGGGAACACTTCGGGTAAAAAGTTACTTGGGGCACACTTGGGGCACACTTGGGGCACACTTGGGGCACACTTGGGGCACACTTGTGCCCCAAGTGTGCCTAGCTAGATTACCAAATTCCCACATTGTCCTCCAAGTATTAAACTTGAATAAAATACCATCCCAGTACTACGAGCATATTGAAGAAGCTGAATGGCACATTGAAGCTGTGAAGGAGTATCTGCCAGGGGTACCTGTGTGCTGTACCCTCTGTATTGGGGAGGATACAGATGTTCACGGGGTACGATAGCCTTAAATAGCCTTATTATATCCAGATCATTGTTTCAATATCATCATTCGATTAGAAGTTGGAAACGATATTTCATTCCATTTTCAATCAGCATTTGCCTAGAATATTGCGGTGTGGGCATTGGGCGTTACAGCTACTAGTTTATCCAAACTTTCTCTACTACAGGTTCCAACAGGAGAATGTGGAGTGAGACTGGCGAGGGCAGGAGCTGACGTGGTTGGAATCAACTGTCACTTTGATCCCTTCCGATGTATTGAAGGAGTGAAGAAGATGATAACAGCTGTTAAAGAGGCCGGCTTCGATAAGGTAGTGTTTTTTAAGAGGAATTATAATTTCGTTACAATATCATAATTCACTTTTCTCCGATTTCCATGAAACTTAGCTTGAAATTGAGCAATCATTTCACGATAATCCACGATAATTTCACGATTATACTGCATACATAAATTTGGTGTCGTTTTTGATAGTATGTTCATCGTAACAACTTATCTACAATGGCAGGTACACTTCATGACGCAACCGATTGCCTTCTATACTCCAGACGCGAACGTACAAGGTTTCATTGACCTCCCTGAGTTCCCCTTTGCGCTAGAACCCCGGTGGATTACCAGATTCGACGCAGCCAGATACGCCAGAGTTGCTTACGAAGCAGGTGTGAGGTCACTAAAGTCTCAAATGACATCACACCGTGTGACGTCATTTGAGTTGTTGATCAATCAATTAGCGGTGGCACAGTGCCAATAAGATGCCTTCATATATTTACTATTCAAACTAATGTTAGTCGATACAAACGATTTAGCAATACCCCAGTCTAAATGTAATGAGTAACGATGACAGGTATCAGGTATATCGGTGGATGCTGCGGGTTCATGGCGTACCATATCAGAGCAGTTAGCGAGGAGTTAACAGCTGAGCGAGGTGATTACCTCCCTGTCAATTGTATCAACTGGGGGAAATGTCTGGAAAAACACACGAAGCCCTGGGTAAGAACGTGACCACCGAACTGGTGCTTTTATTTGTAACTTCCATTTCTATAAAAACGGTTTTTTTTTCTGATTCAATTTTATGATCTGTATAATAATAATAGTCATAAAGATTAAATGGCAACGATCGTTTCGAGACTTTGCAGTCTATTTTCTACAGGTACGAGCAAGAGCAAGCCGAAAGTACTGGGAGGAACTCAATCCAGCCACGGGTAGACCCTACTCTAGTTCCCACAGCAAGTGTGACGGATGGGGCGTAACCGTCGGTAAGTCACCAAATCATCGTCGTGCTCTGGATTACTTTCACCTTATTGCAGTTTCTTAATAAACACACATATATGTAGTTAGCTAATGAATAATTTTTGCACAGCTTTAACTTCTCATTTCCAGGAGACGAGTCATTAAAAGACGACACTAAATCTTAACCAGAACAAGGAGGATTTGATGCAAAGATTTTTCTGTTCCGCGACTAGGAGTTACATTTTCTCGAAGGACAAAACGGCGATTACGTATTATTAGATCATTAAATTTGTAAAGTAATTACCTTATTTTCTTATGACTGATCCGTGTGTTTCTTTTCTTCAACAAATAAATTAACTTCGGTATATATTATATAGGAATTTCTGCTATACTGTCTTCAGTTTTATACGTTTGGTATTTGCCCTCGGGGTGGTTAGTATGAGGGCTCTATCAATATCATGGCGGAGTTATAGCCCGTTATTCCAGATAAAATAATCTGCACTCAAGCACAGCCAAGGATAGATAACCACGAGATAAGCAGATAAATACATATTTTGGGCTCACTCGCCCAATAGGATCTCGCGTATCTAGTCACGTGGCTGACCGCTTCTCTCTAAGAACGAGAGGGCAAGAGACGCGCGCACGTGTCCACTTACACCCCATTGGCTGAAAAGTGGTCTCGTGGGGTCGGTTCTCTGACGTGATTGGATAGTCCGACTCACCGACTTAATACGCGATTTTGCTATCTTAAATTGCTTCAAGAGCTCGTCAGATGAACTGAAACGTGCGGTTTTATTCCTGAATATGCTGAGTACAGCACAGAAAGCCAGATTTTGTGTGTACTGGCTGACTAGTATACAGAGACTGGTATAGAGAAAGGCTAGGTTGACAGAATATCTAGTATCAGGGAATTCGAGTACAAGTTGCAACTCAATTAACCATACACAAATGATGATATTATAAGGTAACATAAATATTGTACTTTAAGGTTAATTGTTAGTTCATACTCTATTTCCATCATGGTTATTGGTTACTATAGACTAATATTATCCTTAACTTGATTTCACGGTTAAATAAGTATAATCACCTTATTAACTAGAATTAAACTTGTTTCCACTTACCTTGGGGTGGCGGGCGACGACAACGTTATACTCTTGTTGTGCGTCCTCGTGCGTAACGTACGACACTCTTAGCAGCGAGGAACTCTTGCAGGACGTCTCCACCATCGCTCTAGTAGGGGAGGGTATATTTGAGAATTATGTTAAGTTATCTTTAGTCAAAACTACAACTAACTATTTCCATTTTTGTTCAGCGGATTTTGGGGAGTGACTTAGACAAGAAAAATTCCTCAACGGGCAACAAAAGGAAACAAAATGATGATGACAATCAGATACATTGAATATTTTCCGTCTTTCCCTGTTGAAACCTATCCGTTGCCATGGCAAGCAACTCTCTTCGGTTAAACATAAAGCTGGCCGTATTAGATTTGTTGTTTTCGCTCCATACGAGCACAAAAAACTTCATAGTTTTCGCAATATTTTGGTTCGATTTCATTCGAGGCTATTGAAGTGTTGGGGTGATTTCATACTAAACATGAACCATATAGTTAGCAGTGCCCTGAACAGAGGGATTATTATTCACTATTATCTTATATGTTTTAATTGGTCATTAGAACCGCCTGGCACCGTCCAGCTTTCAATCGATCGATTCAACTGTTAAACCCGGGGCGCAATCTTAGGGGAGGGGGGGGGGGCAATCGTCGTTTGAATGTGGGACAATTTGGAAAAACTTAACTACGGTACTAGCAAAACTATTCACCTGAAAAGTGACGTCTTTTAATCATATTGCAGCCTATATTTATAAGTTACGTAACAAATAATAATGATAAATTGAAATTTAATAACACCGCTATTAAGATAAAACTTATACTCAGCAGTGTTTAAACTACTCATGCCAGATAATAACATGAATACTAAGTTAAGAAAAGTAACTTATGCTTGAAAATATATCGTCAATACTAAAGCCAGAAAATTATTGGGATTTTTAAAGATTAGCTCTATAAGATAAGTAGGAACTAGGTATTAAATCAAAAATGACAGTGTCAAAATGTGACAGTTAGGCAATACAGTAATTTGATATAGTTTAGAAGACTGTCATTTTAAGCGAAATTTGAGCCGAGAAGGATAAGAATGCTGGCACTTATAGTAGGAAAAATCATGTGACAGTGAACGAACACGTTACACGATCATAATAACAAAACCTGCACAATGTACATGCTTCTTTCTGGTATGACTTGCTATTAGTATTATCAGGAATATATCAAATGAAATAATAACGATGTTCGTTTTTCCGAATGAATGTTCATTTTCGCAGTTTTTAGATATTTTGAATGATGGGATGAAGTCAAATTGTAATGGATTGTGCTTACACAACAGGTCTCAACTCTCAAATATGAAGCATGGCCATGTTATAAGACCCAACGTATGTGTACTGACTTTTGGCCCCCCAATCATATCTTCGATCTAGAAAATGAAGCTGATATCACACTTGAAACTTAAACTGAAACAACCGCCCAAAGTAAGAGTAATGTTATGAAGTCGAGACTAAAGTCGGCAACGGTATAGAATTACAGGAGCCGTTATTCTGAATACAGAGTTGCCAGGGTTATTCAGAGGGTAGTACAAAAGGAATTCCTGAACATGACGCCAACTTTAAACCATCTGCTCTAGCAAATATACGTCAAGAGTACTGAGGAAACTGAGTAAGGACAGGGCCACCTAGTCCAGGGGGCCCAGGCTCTAATAACATTTAGTATACTGGGGAATAATGTGGGGCTGAAGTAATCACTTTATAGTTTCAGAAGCTTCCAAATAAAATGTGGTTGTTGTCTTCAAAAAGGTATACAAATGAGGGGAAACATAGCACTAGGTTCAGTTGTGTCTTCAAAGGAATTCCCGGCAATCACACACTGCTCAAATTTAAATTTTAAACTTAGTTTTATATGATTACAAAGTGAGCTGTGTACCTGATACATTTTAAGCTCATCTGAGAGGTTTCAGCGTAGTTGAGCGTGACGATTATGTCACCAGTTTTTAGGCGCCCGTCAACATGAAACAGCCCTCCTGATAAGATTAATGATATCACGAAATTATAGATATAATTCACTAATTCAGTTGGAGTGATAAGTTGGTGGATTGTTATTGAGTCTCACGATTACATTTTCTTTTCAAATGTTTCTAACAGTAACGAACGCAACAAAACTTCAACTCAGACGATATTTTATATTATTTTCACTTTCAAAAAGGGACATTTGCAGCACCGTGGCATCAGTGCAACACTACAATATTATCGCGACACCTCTCTTACTCTCTACTTAATATGCCCAATAATTCCAGACTACTAATTTGAAATAGAGGGATGAGACGACAACATAAACCCCTGGATAAAAACCATGGGAATTTAATTAGCTAAGGTATTCAAATTGATAATCTTTAATTGAACGTGGAGACTGACCTGGTAGGATGGTGCACACTTCAAATCCAGGAATGATACTGTGGGGAGAGGGCTTCAGGGTAATGCCAGGAAAATCTGAGGTGAAATCTTCCAATTTTTGCAAAAAATGAAAATCGGAACATATCACAGTCTTTTAAGAGACTGAATTTCAAAGTTTTTCTAGCATTAAGCAAATATTAACATTTTGATGAACCTGCGTTGTAGCTGACAGTGATGACTAGCTGTTGAATAACACTGTCCCTTCCGTCGGAGAGCAGTTTGGGCTGTTGAGCTAGGGGCGTGACCCCCATTCTGACCGGGCCGCTCGGCGTCATCTTCATCACTTTAGCTACTATCTGTGAGGAGTAGTTTGATAGATTATATCACGGTGACAACAAGGATTTCTCGTACGATCAAAGCACGCAATCAAGGTTTGCGAGGATATTAAATTTAGGACTCTAGATTTGCTTCTAGAATTTTCTAGTTAAATTACATCGAAAGAGCAGTCGTTGAAAACGTGATCGTTGATTGAAGTGAGTTTGCTTCCAGGGGTCACGAGGTCCACCAAACCTGACTCTTCTTGCACGTGATCAATTACTATCACCGTTCTGGATGGCTTCAGAGGATCCTGTATATACGAAATTATTGACTTTTTGACATAATATCAATAATTAAAACTACCATTAACAATATTTTTGTTCTCAGAAAAACAGAAATTGGAATTTGAGCAGTTTGTGTGTACTAATAATTGTAGATAGTACAAAATATACAAAACAAAAGAGTACATTTCTGGCTTAATAGAAGCAAAATGCAAAAGGGAGCACAAACAAAAATTGACCCTTACAATCAGAGGTAATATAGAAATCCCAAGTGTGGCGTTTCGTTTCTCAAATTCCACAATTTGTATTTCAGGCAGCCAAACTACTCTCAAAGCAGATCTTGTCACCTGCAATGATAAGTTACAGTCTCGCGTCTTGTGTGTCCTCGCGTGCGCGGTTTCCACATTTTTGTTGCAATGAAAGCTTCCACCTTGAAGTTAAATATTTGCATCGCGCGCTACGTCTTCACAATCAAAATAATTTAGGTTGTTACTAATTTGCCACAATCCGAAGCAGTCGCCGTCGGTCTCTTTGTCCGTTAATAACAGAGCATCATCGGTGACATAATAATTTAAGATTAAGCAAACTAAATACTCACCTCCTGCTCAGAACTTATCTCGGCTTCAGGGACTTCTTCCTCTGGAATTAAGGAATGGCATTAAGAATTCATAACTCGCATAGCTTAGTCATTCCTTCGTCCACTTTAAATTATCAGCCAGCCTTCCGCATTCCATAAGATCATTAGAATATCACATCTCAATGTGAGAGAATGGATATTTTAAGGACCCAAGAATAACACAAAAGATTTCAAATTCCAAAAGTTCCCCTCTATAATTGTCGGTCACCAATCATAATGGAGTCAATTATCGCTCTGGTCTTTAAATTCCAATTATTTGAACTATGCTTTCTTTAACCGGTAGATCAAAAGTGCTGGTACCTGGTGCTTTATCGCCCAAAAATGTGTTAAGTATTTGAGTTGTCAGCATGATTGACTGCACATAACTGACTTTGGAATGTCATGAACAAGACATGCAGCTTACCGTGCCAGCCAAATTCAATTCACTATCTAGATTAATTAGATTACTGATTGTTGGCAATGGAGAGAGGTTTACGCTAATTTATTTTGAAACGTGACAGAAATCAGTCGAGTTCAACTTGTACCTAGGTCATCATCTATTTTGTACTGATAATGCAATGGATAATTTAAATCTGTTATGTTTAAATCAGGGGCGTCTACGTACTCTCCCACGTCTATAGTCATACTCAGGAATAGTCTAGACCTAGATTTACATGGTCTATTTCAGAATGTGTACACAACATTTGATAACAGTTGATAGGTAATAACTACCTTGCACTGGAACGACATGCTGTCGATAGACGGTAACTACTCTAGCTGCTTCAAACAGTTGTGGTAGTTGAACTTCCGGCACTATTTCCACTGATACATCGTTAATCTGCAAAGTTATGTTATCAGCTATTTTAAAGTTGTGCGAAATATTTTAAACGTACGCGAAATTCCTAACATTTCTTTCTATAGCTTGTGGTCAGTGGTGCTACTAAATTTAGCGGATACTTATTTTAATTACTCTAAATTCTTTAAGAAACTATTTTGAGAAGCTCAGCATTAAATTGAAAAGTCCCTCGCGGCATCGTCTATAAACAGAAGCTGAACTGCCACGAGGAGTTTGAATGAAAAACTGATAAGAATTTCCATGACGCAAGTTACAAAAGTAGATAACGTGACAAACCCAGATACAGTATATAAAGTAGAAATACAATACCTGAATGATGACGTCTTCATTACAGAGGAGACTGTTATTGTCATTCTCCACGGAGTGTACCACAATTCCACCCTGAAGTGTTATCATATTTAAGTTAATCAGGGTATCTCTCTCTTAACAATTATCATATTCATTAACAATTATCATATTTATTAACAATTATCATATTTATCAAAAATTATCATATTTATCAACAATTATCATATCCATTAAAAATTTAAAACAATGACCATATCTATTAACAATTGTCATTATATCTCTAAACAATTCCAACTGAATAGAATTTTTGTCCACTTTCCTGGCCGAATGACTGAGCTTTGTAAATTATAGGTTAGCTTAGTTAAACGTTTAGCATTTTGAATCTTTTTAAACATATATAATCAACTCGCTAAACATATATAAGTTTTAACACAAAAAGGTCTTATCTTCATGATAATGTATTCCCTGTATTGTTATGACGATATTGTGTAAGAAGTTTATGTCTTTAGTAACTAATTCCAGTTACTCTAAAAATAAATGCATACGCGACAAATTCAATGCTATGTGTGTAATCTTGGTGGAGGAGGAGAAAATGGCTTGATCCAGTGCTGTGCCCCTTAAATAGCTTATATCTGTGTTGACCGCTATTACACTCACAATAATTGACGCATACTATAAATACCACAATAACTTTGTGCACCACACAGGACTATCATAATCATTATAATGATAACAATTAAAATATATTACTATCATTGTTAAAATAAATGGATGCCTCTAGCCATTACGTCAGGTAACAGCACACGATTAAGCTTGAATAATAAGCATGGGAAAACATTTAGATGGATGGAATTTTAATAAGATATGTTGGCAACTTTCCAAGTATTTTTGAGGGTATCAGGATATCAGGATTTCTCTTTTCAACAGTGGTATTTAGGATTAGTGGGATCAGGTCTGTGTCCACTTATTCTGTCAGTAAAGGAAACTTGGCACACTGTTCGGAGTGAACCTTGAGGTATCACAATGTAGTTCACATGGGAGCACAATGCACAATGCACATGATCTATTTAATCAAATTCTAGAATGACTGGTGTATCAAGTAGAACTATGTTACATGCTATACATAAAATATATCAGGAAACTAGACATCATCTGATTGGATATTTTCACATTGTTTAGATGCCATCTTGATGGGTATTTCACCAAATAATATGTACCACATATGTACCATATGTTGTTTATACCTTAAGACCTTACATGTCACGCGCTGACCTGCCAAACTGACAATATGGAACATTTGATGTTGTTTTAACAACAATGTATGGAATATAGTGAACAAAATTAAAGTCGGTACTGTACCACAAATTCTTTACATGTCACGCACTGCTTTGAACCCACTGACAATGGAACTTCAAGTGTGTTTACACGCAGGCGTGAAGAGCACCACACATCCAAGTGTGGTACCATGACGCGTAGTAAAAGTTTACCGACACATCAAATTAATGTTTTAGACTCAGTGGACACTAATGGCAAACTATTCCAGGCTCAAAAAGCCTAGATAAATATTCATATTTGTACAGCTCAAATTGTGTAACTTAATAGTAAATAATATTTATCTTGGACAGTTTCCCCGTGTTTCAACGGTCTTTAGTCATTATCTTCTCAGTTTTGTTTTTGTCTTTTGTGGTCTGTCACATGTATGCATCATGACCTCAAAAATATTTATTTCGTTGATTAGAGCGTCTGTTAAAGCAGCTCATGTTTATATTTTGAGTTTCGACTTTTGTCACACAACTGGAATTCCAAACAATCATAATATATATATTTGATTGTAAGAACGTGCAATATCGGTGCTGAAAACAAAACCTTAAATCCCCGTTTCGTCGCTCTCGAGACGAAATTCCATGGATTATTTGCGATTTACGTAATCGCTCAACTTAGGTTTTTGGGGTATTAATTTCTCTCAGTCGACAGGCACGACTCTATTTACTAAGATAGATACGTTACTTGGTAACTCTAACTTCACTAAACGTTCTTAGACAAATATTGGGAACATTCTAACATGTACAAATGTTTACTCACGGTATTTTCGCACAGAGTCAGGGGTCGCCAAGTTAGTCCCTCTAAACCGGAAGCCAACAGCTCTAATCTTTGTAGATCCTGAAAACCAAAGCGTGTTAGAATTCAAAAGATTGATTTAGCAACAAATTAAACAATACTAACTAAGTTCACATTTAGAAACTCACTTAACAGACGACAGTTAAGCTCGTCTATAAAGTGAGTTCTAACTTATAATTCAGGTAATTTTAGCCAGCCGACAGGTTGGATATTTACAGGGCCAAAGTTTTGCCAGATTTGTCTAGAGACCTCATCAACTAATTAAACATACCTTCTAATCAAATATATGTGGCTCAGAGTTTCACTTATTAACTCACTTATCACTTATATATCAAGCACCTGATCAATGTCACATCACATTCACAGAGGCGCAATGAGGCGTACCTACTACTACTTTGGGCGTTACTTTGAGAACAGATGGTGAGCGGCATTGTTAGTTCTACTTCACTTTCCTGACTAATTCTCTTTGCTCAGTACGCTGTCAACTTTACACTTCAATGATTTTTGTTTGGCAATTCTAGAAATTATATAAGTTTTCAATTTTTATCATCATAGAAATTCAACACACGCTACCGTTCGCGTTGATGGATCGAAATTAAAACTAAAACATTTAACCGTGTGCTGAATGGAACTGGAAAGTACGCTTCACGAACCAGAGTGGATCGTAAAATTCACTATACTAGGCCTTTAATGTAAAGACTATTTGGTTCGGCTCAAGGGATTCTTAATTCTGCACCAGAGAAAGAAATCTTTACCTGAACCAAGCATCTTAGCTTCATAGCATAGCCTCTCATTTTCTCCGACGTTCCGCATAATATGGCTTGTATCGCATAAATTCGCGAAATCTTATAAATTTCCGCATAAAACCTAACAATCTTTGCTCAGACACACATTTAATTTTGAAACTAACCTCCTCACACAAAATAGATTGGAGATTTTAAGTCCAAGAAGACTTTGAGTTGCTCTGGGATATTTTGAGTCGCTGCTACAAGTAATTTGAGACGGCTCGAAAGTTCTGTTGGCTCGTCATTGATTTTGAAGCATTGAAGACTGATGCTGAAAATGTTCACACTATACAAATAGCTTGCTAACCACTTTTGAGATGTAGTAGACCGTTTTTAGGCGTTCAGTTTCCAGTGCATCCATTTGTGCCAAAATCCATTGTAATTCACCGCTTAAAAATTGCATCATTTGACAAATCTCAGCGCATAATTTGCCATTTTTAATAAAACAGTTATTTATTTTTACGGCACAATCAATCAATATCAATATACCAATCATGCAGATGATGCATTTCAGACAATTGCAAAACCACATCATCCACGAAAACATCCGCATTAAATTGTGTCTCTGTTAACTGTTTGTATATTTTGTATAGCTGAAAGATTCAATTTTACCAAGATAACTGACAGAAGAAACCATGTTCCAAAAATTGTTGTAGACTTTACCAAACACTATCCAGCCATAAATTACTGATTTAGATGCAATTTGTCTGTCAAAAGTTATACTGCATACTGAATACTGATAGGCTAGGTGGAAATTTTGACAATATTTCAGAGCATAGCTTCTTCAACCATAATGATTGCAGCCAGTCCACTCTGGTGGCGTTAAGGGCCCCTGCCCCCTTAATCATGCATACAGATCTAGGTTATAGTTACTAGATAAGCCTCGTGTTCACTAATAATTTATCTTACTACAGCTAGGATCGGTGCAATGAAAATATTATCTTTATATCGGGTAGAACGATGACAGTTTGGGTATTATTGGTAGTTCTTATTTTATTGGTCCAATGTGAGACCCCTTAAAAGTAAGCACCTGTTATTACCAGGGATTAAGATGGGCGATTAACAGAAGATTTCGACAGTTACAGAAAAATTAGAATATAAGATGATGGTCCCGGTAGTTAAAGGTCTAGACACACTTCAACAACGTTCCACATCAGAGAAATTCATTGGCTGGTGCTCAATAATTGCTCAACCAATCACCTTCATCTACTTGGCTGCTCAACCAATCACCTTCATCTATTTGGCAGCATATAAATTTCAACACTTCATAGTAGTCACATCCGCAGATTACTTTAGTAACTTAACTCTTTCTCAGAAGCTATTTCACTATCTTTTGTAGGTTTCAGAGGGAAGAAAGCTCATGATGATACCAATCTTCATCTTCTTGTTGCCAGCGGTTCTCTGTGACTGTGCCAAACGTGATAAACCCAACAACCTCGAACTTTCTAGCGGAACCTGCACCGAACACATCAAGAATTTCTTTCCAGACCCTGCGCCGGATCTTGAGAAAATCGCTCAGTCTGAGAGCGAAAGGATTGCCAACACCAAGAGTTTATCTTGCAATAAGAGGATGAAGTACCAGGATGACGCTTCGGTGAAACTAGTTTGCAAGCGGATGTTCAACTCAATGCACCACAACACTCTAAACCAGCATCTCTGTGGAAGATTTCTGACGGACGATAAGGAAGTCCGGAGCTCGACAAACTACAATGTTCACAATAAGATTGAAGTGGGAAAGTTCCAGAAGCATGGATGCGCTTATTATTACAAGAGTGGGACTAGTGCCGTAGTTTGTGCCTTTCGGAGAGAATAGCCGGATGAGGAATGCGGACAATTTGGATACAACTTTTACAGAGCTTAAAACGTATTGTTTTTAAACCTATGAATTATATTATGCTATTTTGAAACTGTTCAGTCAAACATTAAGATGCGCTTTATTCCTTACAAAATTTGTAGCATAATTTATCAGCTGATTGACGTGTGTTTCTTGTCTCAGCATAACATTCTAAACAAATTATAGTGCTAGATCAAAATACACATATGTCACGTACAAATAAAGTCTCATAATATTGTGACGCAATGAAACTATTGGACTACGATGTATGGGGAGTGGGGACTTGCCACCCCATGGCAACATTAAAATATATTGACCCTGTTACATCGTTTCCAGTTATATTATATATCATACCTACCATAAGACTATATCATTGAGAACACAACTCAGCTAGAAATAGCTTTAAAAAATTAAAAATATAAGGCGCGTTACATACGCATATCAAATGGAATTTAGATTATAATTTAACGTAATTATTGCATAATTTGCATCCGTAATTCAAGAGTGATGTGAAACAATGAATATCAATTTAAACATAGTATATATCTAACTTACGATCTGATTTAATCAAATTAGATAAAACTATAAATATATTCGCTACCTGTGATCCAACTCCAAACATTATTTGGAAATGGGAATGTGAAAATTGTTCATATAAATAGATGGATATTTAATTCTAAGTTTAAAAAAGGAGATTATCGTTCGTTTCAATGTCCAATAAGGAAAACCGAAAGATCTTTTCGCCAACCGTGGCTAGAATAGCTAATGATCCTGGATCCACCCTTCCCCTTTTTGGTTTTTTTTTTCTCGCAGCCTTCCCTCGCCCAACTTACCAACTGAACAGGTCTGCCTATGAGAAGTGATACTGAACAGGTCTGCCTATGAGAAGTGATACTTCCCTCGCCCAACTTACCAACTGAACAGGTCTGCCTATGAGCAGTGATACGTTGGGAGAAGCACACTGCAGGAGCCGGGCTACGTGCTGCTGATTCAGACCACGGACCATGGCCTCGTTTATTTCTAGTACTATGTCTTGCAGTTGCAGTTTACAGTCCTGAAATCGGCCAGGGTAAAATATGGGAAATATTTGGGTAAATACCAACACCGGAAAACAGCGAAAACGGCCTTTAAATTGTTGAGCTTATTGACAATACAAGTGAATTTCTATTGTAATTATGAATTTTTATCGGCCGAGGTGAGAGCACTTCCTTTGTAATCTAAGTTATCGCATTTAACTAATAGTTAGTAACTGTGTATGATAACTCTGCAGAGCTAAATTGCTGCGTTGTTCATTAGAGATAGCAATAAAAATACGGTCTTTTCATTGAAACTGCGAAAGTGCCGAGTAAATGTCGCAACCACTCTCTAACTATCTATTATATGCCAGGTGCTGGTCAATGTTACATTCTCATCTCCACAATATGATGTGGAATATTCCATGCCTCAAAGTTACCAGCTCAGTGACGTAACCAGCTCAGTGACGTCACCAGCTCAGTGACGTCACCAGCTCAGTGGTGTCTTCCATATACACAGTAACCATAATCATGAAATTTAACGATGTTTTCACAATTTAAACCAACCTTAGCTGCAGGACTGTCTGCAAGAATAGTGTTGACTCTCACATTACCATACACATCATCCACTATACCAAACCCTAGACCTGTTCCAGTGTTACATATATCACAACTCAGTGGCTGTAATACGCTACCGTCCTGTGGTTATAAAAGATTGGTCACGAAGAGCTGCTCTCGAAGGATTTGTTAGTTGTATATTAAACAGTAAAGTGTAAACATTAAACAGTGTATCAGTGACTCGTTTTATTCTAAATAATGGATCAATATCTCACAAAGAGTGTTGAATACCTAGGAATCAAATCATTAAATTGTTGATAAGGAGACAAGAGCGCAAGGAAATTTTTCCAAAACAAATCCGCACTTGAAGGAGTTGTATATTAAGTGTATCAGCGACCCGTTCTATTCTAAATAATGGATCAATATCTCACAAAGAGTGTTGAATACCTAGGAATCAATTCATTAAATTGTTAATAAGGAGACAAAATGATCGATTGTGTTAAGAAGTCAAAAAATAAATGCAAAACATCACAGCAATACTAAACACACTGGTTCAATGATAAGCTTCCTCCCGGCCAAAGAAAGAGGGTTAGGAGCACGTTCCCATTTCAGTTCTATTTCCGGTATAGCTGGAGTTAGTGCCGGAGGATCCGCTTCTACCATCAGCTTCCTTTTGATGGTAAAGGTCACTGTTTCCGTCTGTTCTTCCAACTTTTTCATAACCTGAGAGAGATGAAATTATTCGCTTTTATAAATTACCCCCAATACTTTGACATGCACCACACTGCATCATAAATAACTTGAGTTTATGGTAATATGGTTTTAGAACAACTGCTACAAAATCTCATGCGAGGCAAATTCCTGACGTGAATTATTCTGACCTGTTGAAAAGCCTCAGGTCCCCCCTCATTATCGAGAATTGACTCCCCGTTTATTGCCGCAATCTCATCTCTCTCAACCAATCTTCCATCCCTGTCAAAACATTTTATTAAGCTTTAAATATCTGTGCAATGTAACACTTTCCTTACTGAGTATAAAATAGATAAGATAAGAATTAAGAAAGTATTCTATTATCAAAACTGATACCAGTATGAGAGTTTGAATTATGACAATGATTGTTGCTTAATGAGTTAATCGAGGTGTTGACCTTCGTTTTGTGAGAATAACTCATTTAAAACAATCCTGGTAATTCTAACCTGTCAGCGAGACCGCCAGGTTTTATTTTCCGAACGAAAACTCGGACAGGACCATCACTGTCAGTCCCACACACATCAAATCCTAGCGACTCTCCCGGTGTCCTGTCCAGGCTTATCGTCTCTTTTTTGATGCTGAAATAGATGGCGTTATTTAACTTGAGGTTTTTTTGATAAAGGAGCAATATGTTACGTCGTTGACTTCCATTTTTATGCCGTAACACTTGAAGTTGAAATCTTTATACAGTGGCAAAACTCGATTTCTATCTCATCGACAAAATAAGCTGTAGTAGATAGATTGCATGTTGTTAAAAAAATTGATTTGATAAAGGAGCAGAAGAGTTTTAGGCGTTGATTTATCATCTTTCCCATATTGAATTTCGCTTACAGAAGATAAGTCAAACTTAGTTTTTTTTGTAGAACGTAACTAATGATAAAATATGTTATTGTAAGCAAACGAAATTATCTTGATAAAGGAGCGTTTTAGTTTTCGTTGTCAATTCTTGCTCTTTGACATGTGCCCGTTTAATGATACTGTTTTGCAAGACTTGTTCCGCTTCAATTCAAGGCATGATGTAGTAAAAGTTTTAAATCTAGTTTCTTTAAACGTTTTGATTCGATTAATTACCATAATATCGGGTATATATCTTAATTCTAATCTAAAATGCACTGTTTAATAATAATAATAATTCGGATATTCCACTGTTAACCGAATTACGTTCAGGGTGCATGATCACCAGTGAGTCATTTTATGATAAATAGATTTTATTCGAACGGTAAAAAGGCCCGCAACGAAAATGGGTTCCAGTGATTATAGCCCTGATTTTAAGAAGTTGGTCAATTCGTACGACGGACATATTCCTATGGTTACGAGGAATCTTAAGCGCTGGTCTAGAAAGCTCAAAATCGCAAGTAAAGACAATTTCAATTTCATGGCGGCTCATAATCCAAATATAACTACGATCGAGGAGGAAGCTGATGATGATCAATCAGCACGTCCAATCAATTATGCTGCACGACCTAATGGCCAAGGTCAGAAAGCCAACTCATTCCATGTTCCATCTAAAAGGGAATTGGAAACAAATGTACTAACTGAAATTATGAATAAATCGTGTAGGCCTGACCTTACATTACAGAGCAAGTACTTTAAGGATCCTAATGTGCCATTCCCAGCTTACTACGCCAGAAGATACGAAGGTCCCATTTACGCTGGTACCACTGGTAGTGCTACTGCTGAGAGAAAGCCATCTAAAAAAATGATTCAAGTCATGCGGCAAAGTTTCAAGCGGCAAAATAGCATGCGGCCAAAAAGTAATAGCATGCAGCCAGAAAGCATGCGACCGAACGTCATGCGGCCAAATAGTATGGCTCCAAATAAAAATTCCGGATCGAACGGAATCATATCACAAAGAAAAAGTTTGCAACAAGATATATCATTTGCATCCGAGCCAGATGATTCATTCGAAGCGCTAGAGGCACAATGCAACGCAGATGATAAAAAAGAACCCATGAAACCTCAAACCTCGCTCCAAGTTAAAAAAATTGGCGGTGACAGTGGTTTCTCATTCTCATTAAGAGATAGCATGCAGCAGGATCGATCATTTGCACCAGAGCCTGATGATTCATTTGAAGCGCTAGAGGCTCAGTGCAGAGCCGAACTTGAACAAACAAATTCGATTAATAACTCATTAATCGAAAAACCACTCCTGAATTCAACTCCCAAAAGTGTCCAATTCGCTACCAGTCCGGCCGTGACGATGATGGACAGTGGTTGCTGTGTATCAACACATCAGAGTGACAGCCAGAACAACTCTACCGTTACTCTCAGAATCATAACCCCATCAAACGTCCCCACTTCTCCTTGCTGCAAGGATGCACAAGGAAAACTTAACCACGTTGCTGCAATCAATGCTAAAAAGGTTGATAGCCTTTCGAAAGTCGTCCACAGGAAGGCACAAGAGTTCAAGTCTATGCTGGCAGAAAATATCAAGCTGGCACAAAACAATTATAAACTTACGGAATTATCTAAGGCAGCAGACGACAAGTTGCATCACCAACAAACCACTACAAACGAACTGGAAGCCAAGCATCTCGAGCTCGTTAAAAAGTTTGAGGGCGTTCAGCAAAAACTAGACCAACTCGAAAAAGAAGGCTTTAGGTTTGATAGAAAAGCAACAGATGACTTGATTGATCGATTAATAAGAAATTACGACAGAATGTTCGAAGAATCCGAAAAACAGAATCAGCAGATCAATGAACTCACCGACATACTAGAACTCATGGAACAGGACAACAACGATTTGTCTGCAAAGATGACGGAAATGGGCTTAGAAGTAACATCCACACTAGCTGAGAAATCTCAAAATGACTCAATACTCCAGTCTATGGCAGACGAAAATTCGATCTTGGAGGAGCACAGTAGCCTATATCACGAGAGGTCTGTCAACTTAGAGAATTCAATCACAAGACTAGGCTCAAGGGTAGAAAACCTTTCCGCTCTTAGCGAAGGGCTTTCTACGAAGAACAGGGACCTTTCTATGGAAGTATCTCAACTTGAAAAAAGTAGTAATAATGCTGATCAGACAGTTGGAAAATACGAGATTGACGATACAAGACTCAGTGTAAGTAGTCATAACAAAACTGCTGACGACAGTATGGAAAAGTATGTTGACTTCTGTGAGGGCGTCGCCGAGGAACTACAGGCTGTGGTAAATCAACAGGATATGAGGATCCACGAACTGGAGACTACCATCAACGAAGCTCCGTATAAAGCAAAAAGGGTATCTGTTTGAGTGGCAAATTTGATTTCAGATGGACTCGCAAGATTCAGCATTTGCTTTGAGTGATATATTATTTGGTAGCAAATTGATACTCGTTATTTTAAGCTTTTTATTAGTGCAATTTTGTAATATAATATAATGTAAAAGAAGTACAAACTATACAAACAATTTAACTTTAAATGATAATATTTTAGAATTTATGAACAATACCTGACTTTTCTCTTCCAGTTATTACTAAGATCCTGGTTGCTTAAATAAATATTATCAGAGTTATCGTCTCTCTGGAGAGGTAATAGACCCTCGCCCAGTCTCAAAGTGGTAGAGGGAGAGTTAACCAGGGTTGTGTCTCCTGCACATCTCTCCTCCTCTTCACCTGCAAACATAATACAATGTCAAAATGTTGTTTGTTAGATTATAAATTAAGAGGCCGCATAGAGTTGTCGGACGGCGGGACACTAAGTTATATGATATTGGCCACAAATAACGCTTTCAAACTTTAGCTGTACACTTCAGAGTGTTCTGAAGTTGCAAATCATTGTAACGAAATATGCACGAAAATTTGGGCGGCTACCAGGAAATCTGATCAATTGGCAGCTAATCATGATGATTCCCATAACAATCGGACGAAACATGTGGTTGAAAGATGTCAAACAGATTAACAACTGTTTCCGAGTAGGTAGATCTGTTTTCCCAATGATCAATTACCAAGCCAAACCTGCTATTTATGATTTCAAGAATAATTTTGCGCTAATTTTTTATTTTCCAAATGCATCAAACTCGAAGTTTCGTTACCAAATTTTTTTTCCAATGTAAGGAAAAGTCAATTCGGAGCACGAAAGAATGCTAAAATATTTTCACCAACCAAGGTTGCAATTGTCTGTGCTGATGTTGGAGCACTCCTCTATCTCCATGTCGAGTTCTGATAATTTCAAGTTCTGAACGGTCTGACAAAACTCTTCTATATCCCGGCCCTGGGTCATTTAGTTAGTGATTTATTCAATTAAGTAACAACTACTGTTGTAGTAAAGCTAAACGCTACAATTAATCTGATAAATCTGTACCTAAATCGGTAAAAACGATGAAATGTTTTAAATTTTACTGTAGACAATAAAATCATCATGAGCTATAAGCACTATCGACTGAATCATAGAACTTCTGCAAGAGCAGCAAGCTCAATCTCATACCGAATCAGTCAGCTCCGATATCTTCTGAAGGTCGTGATAGTCGAGATACTGATAGAAAAGCGGACTCTTGAGCAATCCCCTGAGACTATCTAACTCAAGTTTAATATGTTCCGGAACATGTTCAACTAGTGACTCTATTATCCGTAACACCCGCTCCGCGTCTGAAGTTAGTTACATTTTACATGTGACCTTACTTTGGTGACGTCATAAAATGGTGACGTTGTGCTTTTTATTATGTTTTTGTGTAATTATGTAATTTATGTAATATGCAGTAATTATGTGGTCATCGTTAATAAGGCTTAAAATAGAAGTACATCGCAGACATGTACTAGTTGTGATATGAGATCATATCAAGTATGATATCATGGCAACAGGTACTTCTTCATTATACGCCAAAATGTGGGTTTCCTAGATTGCACTGCAACTGTGGTCGTGTAATATGTGAGAAGGAAATTAAAGGTAACAAACAAATTATAAGCTAATTTGTTCTGTTAAACCACCAATGCCGTTTCCATTTCACTGGACAATGTAATCATCCACCATTAGTCGCCAATTTACATTCCACCAAGGACAGAACCGAATTTCGTGCAAGCAAACCTTCACACATACCTGACATACCACAAAAGCACAAAGATCGGCCTGGAACAAAGCACGAAACAGAGTCTAAGATAAAAAACAAAGCAGAAGAGAGTGTACAGTAGATTACCTGCTTGGTTGATGATGTTTGCCATATCGTAACATCTCGTCAAACAACTACATCGACTGGCTACAACTTGTCATACGTCATTCTAATAAAATAGAATAACAATATTATTATGTTATAAGATATTATCAAGTATATAAATATTTCTTTAAAATTTTTGAATGCAAATAAATGAGATTGTTGGTGTTGAGAGACTCGGGAAATGGACACTGTTTTTTTACTTATATCTTTGTTTTTTAATCAATTCTATCTTTCAATATTAATCTGGTCATATAATAGTAAAATATCACAATGTCAAAGTGAGAATATCAAAGTGAAAATCAACGGAAATGATAATAATTTAGTAATCCAACCCCAATTGAGGCTGAGCCGTCCAATCAAAACGAAAAATCAACTAAAAGCATTCAAAAATTTCTTCTCAATATTTATACTGCAAATTATATTCTTATAAATGAAGTCATATGGGCAATTCCACGGTAAGGTTCCACTTGGTGAAAATGAAAAATGTTAAGATAAGCACCTAATTTTGGTTAAAATATGTTCATTAGACTCTTAACCTTACAAGTCAACAAAAGTTTTTTGTTTCATATTGCGTTAACTTTTGATTTTTCTCATTCAAAGGAACACTACTCGGAAATGAAAAAAATCGTTCAAATTTTCAAAGGGCCATAGTTTGGGTATGCAGCAATATTTCTCTATGAAATTCCATACACTTAGGCATATGCATAAGAATGAGAGCTATGCAAAGTTTCAAAACCGTTACTCAAATACTTTTTCTAAAAAATTTCCACAAAGATGGTGTCACGTCTGTCACAAAATTAAGCAAAAAAGTTTTTTCAGAGCCACATAGTGCTATTTATATTCAAAAAACCACTGTAACCTATCTCTTCTGAAGGTAAGGGAGTACCGTAGAAATTATCAGGCTTGTATCTTTTAAGAAAAAAATTTTGTAAGGGGGGTCCCAACTTGTCACGTCCGTCACATTTTTTTGAAAATGCTCCAAAAAATCTTTAAACAGACTTTAAAGGCATTTTTCTTAAAGCTGAGGCCGTCCTCAACAAAACTATGTCGTCAAATCAAAAATTGGACAGAAAATGACCGAGTTATGTATAATTTTGTATATGCCCATATATGGGCATACGGCTCACTTTTAGCCATTTTTATCCATATTTCCATTATTTTGACTAAAACCAAGACAAATAGAAGTCAAATAAGGTTGGATTGTGTTGACCATGTTGACTAGACTATCAAATAACATCATATGCAATTCAATAATTTAATTTACTGATTTTTTACCATTTTATTTGCTTACAACTTTTTCAGAGGTAAAAGGCACAAAAAATGGACTTAACCCTATTTTCGCATATTTTTGAAGTAAAAATTCAATATCTTCCACATTTTAAACACTAAAGTAATGAAACTTTTAGGAGATGGTCTCAACAGTATGATGCGTTGAACAGTGATGAATGTTTTACCAGAGTTATAAATTTGTTCAAGTAGAGAAATAATTGATGTCCCTAGACTGATACCCTAGCGTATGCCCAAAATGGACGATTTTGGCTGTTGCAGACCTCTTGGGGGTATTTGAGGCCTAAAAATTGGCATGAATACAGAGTAGATGTCACTGAACAAGATAAAAGTGTCAAGTGGAAGATTTAGAAAAATTGAAAAAAAAACGTGTGTCCGTCACAGTCACGTCTGTCACAATTTGAAAATGGCGCCACGCAAACAAAAATTGAGCAATCTCTAAGAAAATGGCATCTCAGAAATCCCTAAACCTTCTTCTATCATTGTAATTCCAAATTAGATACAATAGATAACTTTTTGAGATAAATTTGGGTACCATCTGAGTAGACACCCAAAAAAAGTGTCATATTTACGTCACGTCCGTCACAGGGGTGCTATCTCAGAAAGTAATAATGGTAGGGGTCTGAAATTTTCACACAACCTGTAGAAAGGTTAAATGTGGACTAATAAACAGTTGGAGCTGATAAATAAACAACATCTCGAGTACAACATTCGTTTGAACTTTAAAAAACAGCAAAATCGTGGTGTCCGTCACGGTGGAATTGCCCATATACAAATAATTATAAAAACTTTAACATTTATATCATATTAGGATAATACTGACACATTATTCTTTGCAGACCATGCAGATAAAAAGGAAGCATAAATTACAAATCAAGGTAAGTAGTGCTTCATCCTTCAATCAATCACAAACTTATAAAGTTTAAGTTTAAACTTGTAAAATACACAAATTCAATCGTGTCACGCCTAAAAATCCTAAAGTTCATGTAAAAGGCCTGTATTCGAGTGTTTTTCCATCTTCTGTGGTCACCGGGTGTCTAGCTCCACACAAAATAGGTGGCACTGTCTCCCGAAAAGGGGAAAACTGAGGAGCTCTTACTTATCCGCATCATCACCCTCCTCAACAAAGTCACACATTAATTTTGCACACTCGGGCACTGCTTTATCCAGATAGTTTGTTACAGGAAACAAACCGTCCACAAAACACACGTGACCTCCAGCAGCGGTGCTCCAGAGCACAAGATTTGGGTTCTTCACGAACTCTGGTAGCTTATAGTGATCAAAAGGGGCCATGAAATCGTCACGTGAGTTTATCACTACCACTGGTTTCTTTACTTTGTGACACTTGTTTACTGGGGATACCCTTAAAGTTTCAATATTAAGTCAACTTCAAGGGGATACAATTTAGAGTTGCACTATCAAATTAAAGCTCAAAGTTGTAAAACTTTGATTTGATGAGGCCTTCATATTGCTAAGACTGTAATTTACGATTGAAAATAGTAGTGTGTTCGAAGAGAAATTGTTTAACTGAAACTTACTTTTGATAATATTCGTCTGCACCGGACACTCCTATCAGGGGTGCCACAAAACGCTCTTCGATATCCCATATACTTTTAGACTTCCTCAAATATTCCATGTCAATGCCCTTCTCTTGATACCACTCTTCTTTTAATTCTCTCTAAAATTAAACTATTTATTGATGATTGGAACGCAGTTCAATTTCAATTAAATTTAATTATAGTGCAAACCCTTTATAATTTATTACCTTATTTACCAAACTTGGGTGACATTTGATTACCTGGGAATAATTTACTGTAGTTAGCAATGTGATATCAGATAGCCTACCTCTTCCTCAGTATATGATTTCTCAATTCGATGAAGTGTGTCTATAACCAGTCCTTTATTGAATAATTGATAATTGATGCCAGATGAACATTTCATGGCATCAGCTTTAAGCTCCCAATTGCAGGAATGGAGCACAGCTCCAGCTGATAAAATAAGAATTAAAACTTAAGTTTCGTTTGCTATCAATATAGTAGAAAATAGTAGTATTATTATAGTAAAATTATAGTAGAAAATTAAGAAAATTAAGAAAATTAATGTCAAACTAATTATAGAAAGAAATTTTGAAAACTATGAACATGATACTGTAACAACGAACAAATTTTTAAAAACATATCAATACCTATCGAAGGACGATTAGCTTCTTCAGTGCTGAGGTAATCGATTGTACTCATAGCGCCTAGGCAGGCACCCACAAGTATTATTTTCTTTCCAGGGAACCTTGATTCTAAGTTTTCAACACTTTCATTCAAATGATTGCCATCTCCCCATGCAAAAGTCATCATTTTACTCGTCATTGGTATCTGCAAGATTAGCCATTACAACTTGAAAAGAAACACTTGAACATAACCTACAAACTATTAAAAGCTCACCTAACTATAAAATCGACCCGAAACTGCCAACATTGCTGAATCAATTAAATGCAGTGCAGCTGCACTGGTGGTAACATCACAAAAATGTTTTCATCCTCATCTGCCATTAAGACAGCACTTTTACATGACTTACCGAACAAGAGGCTCTGGAATTTAGAACAAAGACGTTAGGAAATCCATTTACCAACAAGGAATTTGCCAAAGTGAGTATTTTCACAGAATGGGTTGTTTCACGCAGACCAGGAGAAATAACAACAATGTAATCATCCTTATCTTTAGACCCTGAAATGAAATGTTAGATATAAAAACTGAGACAAAAAATGATTTACTGAAGATAATGCAATAATTCTATGAACTAAAGGATTGGCATTACATAAAAACTATCTTTATTCTAATGTTTTCTTAACTAACAAATCCTGAGGAAAACTTACCTTTGTTGTTAGCGAAATGGTCAAAAGCAACAATACCGCCATCAGACAATTTAAGTGTTTCTTTGACAATTTGAATAGGTGGAGGCTTCTCGTATTTTGTTCGGACGTAAAACTGCATGGCTGGATTCAAACAAATCAGGGGTGGGCAATACTTCTCTTGAACCAGCTTACTTCTGCAAGGACTCATCTTAGAAATATAAAGTATAAACCCATACAATGCGCCATAATCACAAAGACTATTCAGCAATGGTGGGTGGTCGTTTTTGGGAGTAGTGGATGTTTGTAGAGCAGGTTAGTGGTTCTTTATAACAAAGATTGATCATAATTAATTATATTCAAAGATAATGTAGCTCAGTGGCAAGTGCAAGTGATTGACTTGATTAGGCAAAAAGATAATAAAGTACTGTAATAGCAGACCTGCTCTCGAGAAAATGCCTAAAAGCACCTGATCCATACAATGTTGGTTTCGTCCATTTCCTAATCATATTTATCAACCTGCCCATAAAAACATTTCAATTAAATTAAAAGATATTAAACCGGAGGAGCGTTGTTGGTTTGACAGCTTAAATTGCAACAATCATGAAGGTTTTTGCAAACCACTTGGATTTAGTTTAGTTTTAATTAAGTACCTCTGGACAGTTCTAAACGACCATATAACATCCTCTGACAGTTAAACAATTTACCTTAATGTAACTATATTGTCTAAATATAAATTGATAAAAAGTATAATTAATAAAATATGTTAAATAAAGTGTGTTTATAATTATGATTTATGGTACATTGTTATTTATTATATTTATATTTTAGGCTGTAACCTTATTAGTTCAATGGAATAAACCTAGCATGCCTTGGTTGCAGCATTATACTCACTTATAGGTGCTTTTAGGGCCCGATGTAATTGCTATGATCAGTTTACTGGTCAACTGGTGTTTCGGTGTCCCTTATTTTGTTTACACTCGGTCACTTATCAAGGCATGTAAGGTCATTCGGCGATATTTTCTTTGAAATAAAATGATGTATTTGTGTAACAATTTGAAAGTTTATTGATAAAAAAAAAAAAGTACTATAATAATAGAGCCCAGAAGCCCTAAAAAATGTTGTGAAGACCGTAGTCGCAGAAGAGGACCGTAGTCGAAATCTTCTTGTTTTCGGTTTGCCGGAGGAGGAGCAGGAAGAGTTAGAGGTAAGAATCGGCGAGGTTTTAGAGGAAATAGGGCAGAAACCGAAGGTGGAAGTAGTGCGACTCGGCAAGAAGAAAACTTCTACCTGTACTCGCCCAGTGAAAGTCTGCCTGACCAGCTCCTTGATCGTACATCAAGTCTTAGCAAACGCTCGGAAATTGCGACAATCAGCCAAGTTTAAGACTGTGTTTTTGAGCCCTGACAGATCACTGGAGCAGCGGGAAGCCCGAAAGGAGCTGATTGCCAGCATGAGAGCTAAAGCTTTAGCGGAGCCGGACAAAAAGTTTTACATTAAGGAGGGACAGATATTCAGCTGTAGTCGCAATTGAGTGTATTTATCAGTACATGTGTGATAATGCTTGTTTTTCAGTGTGAGTGAAGTTTTAGTTAGTGCTAAGCGGGTGCCTACTAGGCTTTTAACTTTCTATACAGGACTGGATAGTCTTCAGACTGTTTTAAAGCTTATTTTTAGTGCAAGAGTTGGTTGCTAGGCATTGCATTTATCTAAGCAGCGCCTGTATTCAATAATTAATGAAATCTTATTAGCGGATTTAGGTATATAATTATTGTATATATTATTGTATGTATAAATTCTTGAGTAAACATTAACCAGTAAACAAAGCTGGTTCCCAATCAATCAATAATGTTTATTCTCATTCACAAAAGGCACAAAATTCCCTAACTATGGTCAAATCAATAAATGTGAACAATACAATCCAAAGTAACAGACATGTTGCAGATTAAATACAATATTATGATCCATCTAAAGGTGTACAAAAAATTTAGTAACAACCTACAGAATGAGTACAGATCCAATGATACATGCACTTGCTCCTGTAGTCCATCCCACTTCTCCAAATGACATTTATTTCACGATTCTGACACTGTTACAGTTACTTTCAATTGAGTCTAACAAATTTTAGCAAATAATACAACTTGACTAGATCAAACTACTAAACGGATAACACTACGATAAATAATAGGTAATTTTAACAATCATCAATTTAATACAAAAAAAAGTGCAAAAATAGACATAAAAGATCAAAATCATACATTGAGCAAAAGACCGTGTAAATTGGCCGCAAGTGTCTTTTACTTTATCAACTAAATGTATGTTATTATATGGTATGAGTCAAGTTTTTATTTATATTATTTTAATGAAACAATAAGATACAATGAAGCAATATATGGTACCTTAGTTATTATATATATATATATATAACTCTAAAACTCTGGTCACAAGAGCAACTGCCTAAACGTGCAGAATTGAAAACAAATACATAAAATACTAGCAATCCTTTAAATTCGCAATAAATAAGTTCGTTCAATGTCATTATATAATTCTTAAAACCGCATATATATGTGACCGGTAAATAATTTAATTGGTCTATAGACTACTGTATAAAATTCTCAATATAAACTTTTTAACAATAATAAATTAATTAAAAACACACAACAACCTGTTATTATAAGAAATACAAATTTTATAGAAGGATACAAATTTGAATTTTGATCTTTATTACAGACTAAACCATGAAAGCCGCGCGTCGATTAATTGCCTTAAGTAAGATTAATTATAATTTTAACCGACAGAAGCTGAAGGATGGAAGCCCAAAAGGCCCAGTGCACCATCGACAAGGTCAAGGACTCGTTAAGTAAAAGTTTAAACTGTCCAGATTCCACTATTGCAATTGCCAAATAAACTTGTACCTTACTCGGGATTATTATGACCGGGATAAAGTAGCGGGTTTACGGTAATTTCGCCATATTTTTCCCGAACCACATTTTCACCGGTCATTAATAAACCCGCCGACTCAGCTTTCAGGGTTCCCAAGGGGTATGGGTGCTCATATTTTAATCGTTGTCTTATATTCACTAAAGAAGACTATTGGGACACTTGTTGTAGGTTTTTCGACTTCATTTGGCTAAAATTGCAAAAAATTCACCTTTTTGCCCAATTCTTGTCATATATCCTTATTGTCAAAGTTGATTTAAATAGGCCAAAATTTTAATTTCTCAGGTATTGACTATCTCTACATAATGAAATAGGACTCAAAGTAAAAGTAACAGTTAAATTAAAACTTGAATTAATTAAAACTGTCAATAACATAAATCAGTTTCATCAGTCATTTATTCATAATTCTAAACAATGTGAACGATGCATTCTTTCGAAGATTTTCTACAAATTGAGTCATAATGGTTATTTGATACACGTAAACATTTAATGCTAATTCAAAACAACGACTTTTCTAGAGTGCTAGACTACCAAAACGTTACTAGCAATGCGAAAATTTCTAAGCTTGCTTATTTCTAATAAGGAAATTTACATCTGAGACAAAATTTTTGAATCTAAAATTGAAAGGTTGGACACCGGTAAAATGGCGACCGGGAAAATGTGGTGGGTTTTGAGCAATTTCGCCATATTTTTCCCGAACCATATTTTAACCGGTCGTTAATAAACCCGTCGTAATAATCCCGAGTAAGGTAGGTTTATAACCATACCAGATCCAGAACGCGCGCCGATTTGAACTCGTCGACGGTCTTGAATCAAATATTTTACGAGTATCACCCGTTAAAGAATAAACACGATCGCTATAAGAAATCGAAGCTCTATTTTTGTACGTGGGCGTTTAATTGTTCAAATTGATTCACAATGTCAATCCTTCGCATTTCGAGTCGATCTGCATGTGGTTGTGAGAAAATGCGCGGCGCAGCCAAGTAGTGCATCGCACTACAATTGTTTAAGGTAATGAAACTGATGAACAAAAACAGAAAACAAATGAGTTTTAATTTTTTTTTAAAAATTAAATGCAATGTGGTTAACTAAACGGAAAATGCAGCATAAACGAGTCCTTGTATTGCATATTGACATTACCTGGGGACCTCAGGCTATTATGTTCTTAAACATAAAGATTCGACGGAATGTCAGGCTGAGCGCGGCCCAGTAATAAACAATTGAATTCATGGTTCACTAGCTTGTCAGGATGATAATTAATCACTCTACACTCGACTGTCACGTGACGAAAACGCCGTGATTTCATTGGTTAACCTGATAACGCGCCGCAGATCTCTATAAACACAAATTATTCATCGCGCGTGCAGTAAACTCAAATTAAGTCCTAATTTGTTACCGAAATTTGGCAACTATCAACATCATGGCACAATTAAGTCGCATGTTCAGTAAATTGCTAATCAAATGTACGGCACTAATAATACAGTCTACACTTACAGTGTATGAATTCATGAACGAATTTATTAAGGCAGATTGGTAGAACAACGATCGTAAATGATAATTTGTATTAACAGTGGGAAGTGTTCTTAAGGGAGACTGTTGTGCAGCCATGTCGGGAGTTATAAAACACTGAACACGACATTAAAAACACTTTCCAACTACAAAACTTAACCACTAAACCAGCTCTGAGCACTATTTCTAGGTTATGAGACGGCTAAATGATGCGAATAATAAATCCTCAGATCTCCCAGTACTCTACATTAAAAACACTTTCCAACTACAAAACTTAACCACAAAACCAGCTCTGAGCACTATTTCTAGGTTATGAGACGGCTAAATGATGCCAATTATAAATCCTTAGAGCTCCCAGTACTCTACATTAAAAACACTTTCCAACTACAAAACTTAACCACAAAACCAGCTCTGAGCACTATTTCTAGGTTATGAGACGGCTAAAATATGATGCGAATAATAAATCCTCAGATCTCCCAGTACTCTACATTAAAAACACTTTCCAACTACAAAACTTAACCACAAAACCAGCTCTGAGCACTATTTCTAGGTTATGAGACGGCTAAATGATGCGAATAATAAATCCTCAGAGCTCCCAGTACTCTACATTAAAAACACTTTCCAACTACAAAACTTAACCACAAAACCAGCTTTGAGCACTATTTCTGGGTTCTGAAACGACTTAATGATGCCAATTATAAATCCTAAGAGCTCCCACTCTACATTAAAAACACTTTTCAACTACAAAACTTAACCACAAAGCCAGCTTTGAGCACTATTTCTAGGTTCTAAAACGACAAAACGATGCGAAATATAAATCTCCCACTGCGTAAGCCGGTAAACTAATTAACCGGCTAAAAAAGCTGAGACGGCTATTATGTATTATCGTAACGACATGATCACGGCCGTTAAATGGCTATTAGTTGACTGTTCATAACAGCTGCTCTATATTTGTGCGCTCTATCATAAGGTTGTTTCAGAGCTGCTAAACTCCGGCTAATATAACAAGCCTTTTTATATAGCCATTTAAGAAGGAAAAATACTTAGCACTTTACAACCAACAATC